ATGGGTGGGTGCGCGGTTGGTGTCGAAGCTGTGCTTCCTGCCTCCCAACTATTCCCCATCTCCACATCCTCCTTCCATGCATGCAGTGCCAAGCTGGCCTACCGTCTACACCACACGCTTTTCCGCCCCAAATTCCTCGTGGAGTCGCTCTGCCAGCCGCGCTACTTCTCATTTCCCACCTCCTCCTGCCTCCTTCCATACCCATTTTGCCGATCTCAACCCAACCTCCCTCCCTTCCCACCAGTGCCAGCCAAGCTAGCCTACTGTCTCCGCCGCACGCACTTCCGCCCTAAATTTCTTGTGGAGTCGCTCTGCCAGCATTGCTACTCACTGCTTGTGCAACTCTCCCCCCCTCCCTCCATTCCATTTTGCCAACCTCACTCTTATTCGTGCGAAGCTGGCCTACTGGCTAAGGCGCACGCGCTTCCGCCCCAAGTTCCTGGTGGAGTCGCTCTGCCAGCCGAGGGTGTGCCACAACTCTTTCCCTTCCCCCCCTTCTTCCATTCCCATTTTCTCAACTGCACACCCCTACCAGTGCCAAGCTGGCCTACAGGCTAAGGCGCACGCGCTTCCGCCCCAAGGTCCTGGTGGAGTCGCTCTGCCAGCCGAGGGCGTGCCACAACTCCTCGTGGTCCGACGAGGGGCTGTGCGTGTGGGACAACAACTTCTCCGTCGCCACACCCTCGCACTTCCTCCTCCTCTTTCCGCTCCTCCTCTTCCCCCCGCTCTCATTCCATTTCCCTGCTGCCTCCCCCATCCCTTTCCCTTCCCCGGCTTGCCCCAACCTCTTCCCAACCCCAAACAGCGCCAAGCTTGCGTATCGCCTGCGCCGCACGCGCTTCCGCCCTAAGTTCCTCGTCGAATCCCTCTGTCAACCGCGGGCGTGCCACAACTCGTCGTGGTCCGACGAGGGGCTGTGCGTGTGGGACAACAACTTCTCCGTCGCCACGCCTTCACACTTCTTCCGCTTTGCGCCCACGCGCGGCGACAAGTGCCCCAGCAGCAAGCTGTATGAGCACTTCCACGCGTGGATGGGGCAGGTGCCTCGGAAGAATGTCCAGTTTCTAGCAGTGAACTTCCAGGTGAGAGGGGTGTTGGGATGGGGGAAAGGGATTACATTGGGGTTGGGGGTCGCCTGGTGGGGGCTGGGGGTCGCCTGGTGGGTGGATATTGGCGGGGACGTATGGGGCTGTCACCTGGGCTCTGGCTGGGGCATGGGGGTGGCTTGGTGGGCGGATATGGGTGGATCTTGGTGTCTGTGAGGGGATGTGAGAGGATGTGAGAGGATGTGAGAGGATGTGAGAGGATGTGAAAGGATGTGAGAGGATGTGAGAGGATGTGAGAGGATGTGAGAGGATGTGAGAGGATGTGAGAGGATGTGAGAGGATGTGAGAGGATGTGAGAGCACGACGAGTCCCCCAGCAGCAAGCTGTATGAGCACTTCCACGCGTGGATGGAGCAGGTGCCTTGGAAGAACGTGCAATTCCTGGCTGTCAACTTCCAGGTGAGAGGGGTTTGGGGATGGGGACGGCTTGGTGGGTGGATGTGGGTGGGTGTGTATGGGTGCATGGGTGCATGGGTGCATGGGTGCATGGGTGCATGGGTGCATGGGTGCATGGGTGCATGGGTGCATGGGTGCATGGGTGCATGGGTGCATGGGTGCATGGGTGCATGGGTGCATGGGTGCATGGGTGCATGGGTGCATGGGTGCATGGGTGCATGGGTGCATGGGTGCATGGGTGCATGGGTGCATGGGTGCATGGGTGCATGGGTGCATGGGTGCATGGGTGCATGGGTGCATGGGTGCATGGGTGCATGGGTGCATGGGTGCATGGGTGCATGGGTGCATGGGTGCATGGGTGCATGGGTGCATGGGTGCATGGGTGCATGGGTGCATGGGTGCATGGGTGCATGGGTGCATGGGTGCATGGGTGCATGGGTGCATGTGGGTGCATGGGTGCATGTGGGTGCATGGGTGCATGTGGGTGCATGGGTGCATGTGGGTGTGGGTGCATGGGTGCATGGAAGGCGTGTGGATGAGCTCGATCGGTAGCCAGCCAGCACGTTGCCTTCTCCCGTAACGCCTTCCTGCAATCCGTCCCCTGCCTCGCATCTGCAGGGCAGTCAAAGGCTTTTGAGACGTCTCAAAGGTTGCATGATCACAATCTGTAACCAGCACTTCACCTCCCATAACGCCTTTCTGTAATCCGTCCCCTGCCTCCCATCTGCAGGGCAGTCGAAGGCTTTTGAGACGTCTCAAAGGTTGCATGATCACAATCTGTAACCAGCACTTCACCTCCCATAACGCCTTTCTGTAATCCGTCCCCTGCCTCGCATCTGCAGGGCAGTCGAAGGGACTACTTGAAGCTGGAAGATCCCGACCCTGCAAAAACGTGGGGCAGTGCTGTCTTTTGATGCGCGCACGCATGTCATTGAGACTGTAGATAGATACCCTGTCTGGAAGATGGAGCATACCGTTCCATTTCACTGTATGCCTGCCAGCGACACTGTCCGGGACAGGCCTTCCACGGTGCCTGCTGGACTAGACTCTTCATCCTGAGCACTCGATTCTTTCTCCTGCAATATTGTTGAGATTTATTTCAATCTGCCTACACCGGTATGAGATTCTTACGTCTCCTAAAAAAAAAAACGAATTGAGGGCGTGTGTGATCATTGTGCTGCTAGGGCTTTCCCCTCCACAACAAAACAGCAACATTCACATCCAGCATATTGCTTGTCTCCCCTACTGTTTGTTGCACCTCAGTGGGCTGGGCTGGGCTGGGCTGCTTCCAATTGCCTATCTCCCACACTTGGTGGATCATTGACTTGTGCTGCCTGCCATTTGCAGCCCATCATTTGAACTCATGAGTCATGACTCATGACCCATGCTCCGTAGCCAAAACACATGGCCCTTTATCATCCAAAAGAATGAAAACATATGCGGTATACGTATATGTACTCCCATTGCCCAGTGCCCACCTTTTCACATCTTGATGTGCGGCAGTATGTACAGAACGTGCCTTCCTGCCTCTTTCCCTTGCTGCCTGCCAGTAACATTTAGTTACCAGTTCTCACCCTCTGCCAGTAACCCTGCCTCTGTCCTTGCCATGTACAGCCTTTGTCCTTTAGCTACCAGTTCTTCCCCTCTCCTTCCTCTCTCGTCCGCCTCCTCCTCTCTCCTCCTCCGCTATCAACCTGGTAACAGTTACATTTGACTCAAAGCAAATCCTGTCACGGTTCCCAGCCCGTTTCGCCAAGTAAGCTTTCCTAAGCTTTCCTCCTCTTCTGTCGTCACCCTCCTCCTCTCCTCTCATCTCCCCTCCTCTTCCCTTCCTTTGTCTCCACCCTTCGCCCCTTCTTGCTTCCTGAAATCCTTCAAGGGGTCTTCCCCTTTGATATACCATCCCAGTCCGTACAAGCACACCCCCGCTGTAATCACTCCTCCCCACGCGTTCGCGTACTGTACACTGTACATCCGCAGCGCGTACCTCCACTGCTCGCGCAACGACGCCACGTCAGCAGCTGATGGGGGAGGGAGCGGCGGGGACGCGGAGCGGCCATGGCGGAAAGAGAAAAGAGCTTTGGCTCGCGGACGGGTTGCGGAAGCGGAAGCGGAAGAAGTAGGGCCGGAGTTTTGGTTTGTATTCTGCAGACTTCCCAATCCATTTTTTTCTGGAGAACGGCTTTCTGGCGACGTGGGATCGCGGGGAGTTGAAGCATCGGATGAGGCGCGACCCGAGCTTGACATGACAGGTGAACGGGGTTGAGAGATTCGAAGGGAATCACGCGGCGTTGATTAGTGATGCGTAGAGTGCGCCGTCTGATGCGGCGGCTGGTGTGCCATCCCTAGAAAACGAACACCTTCAAGCATCCTCGTGATCAGCACAGCTTGCTAAAAACACAAGTAGTGGGATGAAAAGTTTGAACTACAGTTTCGCGCGGAGTGTACTGACATTCCCCTCAGTCCCGCCAAATATGACGGACCAATTAAATTCTGGCATGCGGCTCGCCACGATAAGCCCTTCGAATTGAAAGTTGCCAAATGCTGGGTCAACATTCGCTGGAAATATCATGGATCTCCTGATAGCGTGGCAGTCCTGCTTTCCAACACAGCCGGTGCGTGTTTCCAACATTCTCGGTACATTTTCAAAGACGAGATCGAAAAAATCGTTGAGATGCATGTTTACAACCAAATTCCGAGCTCTACACCCGATTCATACACATGCCATGCTTCACATTTGAGGCATGCAGCATCGCGATGATGCAACGGAGATTCACGAATCATTGGCGAAAATCACAGCTTCGTCAATCAAGCCAGGTTCACTCTTTCTCCTGCATCCCCTCGAATTGCAGCTGTGCGTAACCGAGAGCTCTTACGTGCCGCGGTTGCTGCGAAATGAATTTTCGTTTCGCAGCCAAGAAAGGTCAGTTGCACATGACAGGTTCTCGCACACCTCACTTCCCCTCACAGCTCAAGTCTCAGTTCACCATGTTCGCGACACCTCACTTTTCACTTCCAACTGAGCTGTGGGGTACTGTACTGCACTCGCAAGAAGCTAGGGAGGGAAATGAATGTGCTGTGTTCGTGTACCTGGCCTGTCATCCGAACGGAATTCGCAAAGCGTTGGCCGCTCACCGTAAGCCAGCGGCTGCTCGTTGGGGAACGCTGCTCGGGGACTGCCAGCCTCGAATTCCTCGCGTTCCACCACGAGTATTTACTGCACCCATTCGCCTCGTTCTTTCATCAGTCATTAGAAATTATTCAGCTATCGACCAGTCTGCCTTCTCACTCTTCACAGTTCAATCGACAGCTTTCATTTCAACGCCCCAGCAGGCAGCAACCCACTCGATTCGTTTGGGCAGACTCATCGTCACTGTCGCCACTCAGTCTCAGATTCTGCACAGCTTGTGCCAAGCCAGCAACGAATCCTTCTGCGCATTCCTCGTGCATTTCGCACTTGGATTCCAACCAACCTGCAGCGCCAGTCCGCCGATCAACTATGGACGCTCTTCGCCTTGCCTCCGTCGCCGACTGTTCGTTCCAGTCCTCCTTCCTCGCGCCTTCCTCCCAGGCCCTGAAATCTAGCACGGGGGCTTCAACTGTCGCCGTCTCTCGCGGCGCCGCGCGTCCGTCGCCTACAGTCGCATCTCAGTTCAACGAATCACAGAGGCGTCGCTATATCTCCCCTGCCCGCCGCCCCGCTCCCGGCGCCGCCGCAGCCGCGCCGTCGTCCGGCGCGCTCTATCCGACGCTCATTGGCCCCGCCAGCTACGAAACCGACGATGAGGGCGCCGCCGCTGGGACGCCGACTTGCCCGTTCGAGGCGGACGCCGCCAGCCGCGTCATCACGGTGAGCGCGTGGGAGGAATTCGATTCGCTCCTGGCGGCGGCATCCGCGCGCGGCCAGCTGGTCGTGGTGGAAACCACCCTGGCCTCGCTCCCCAACACCGCGAAGAACTACCCCAAGCTGCAGCAGATCGCGCGCGTCGCACCTGGTCGCACGCTGTTCCTGCGACTCATGGCCGATCGCAGCGACGCGCTGCGCGACCTGGCGAAGTCGCTGGGCGTGAAGCAGATTCCGTCGTACTCGATTTTTAGGGACGGGCAGATGGTGCATGAGGAGCCTGGCATGGATGTGGATCGGCTGCTGCTGCAGCTGCAGTATTACAGCAGCAGCGGGAGCAACCTCGGGATGAACGCCGCGGATAGAGCCGAGGGCGGTAGCGTGTACAGCGGAAGCACGGACACGGAGCAGGACGGGAAAGTGCTTGAGCTGAACGGTCGCGAGGATTTCTATGAGCTGCTGCGCCGGCATGAGAATGACGATCGGTTGGTGGTGCTGAAAGCGACGCTGACTTTCTGTGGTCCGTGCGTGCGGATTCATCCGACGGTGGTGAAGCTCGCGCAGCGCATGTCGGACACGGCGGTGTTTGCGCGCGTGTTTGGTGACAATAACGAGTCGACGGTGACGCTCATGAGGGAGCTGAATATTGTCGAGGCGCCTACGTTTCTGTTCTACAGGAGGGGGGAGCTGCTGGGGCGTTATGTGGGTTCTGGAAGGGGGGCTTTGGTGGGTGAGGTTCTCAAGCATCAGGGAATTCATGTTAGCTAAATGATTTCATTAGTCGCGCTCACCTAGCGCCTCTTTATTCCGTGTATACATGTTGCCTCTTGTACAGCCATTGTGTGCTCTGTTTGGTTTGTATGTGATGATTATGATTATTGTTTGCATTTTGCATTTCCAAATTTAGTGCAACAAATCTCACTTATCAAGGCTCCGACTACCGGAGCCTGGGCAATCGTTATGGCACGACAAATGAGCAAATGGCATTGTGGCATATCCATTTTGCGTCAGCGCTGTCTCAGCCAAACCCATCCCTCCAAAGAGTTCGGAGCCAGCCAATCAAACGCACCTCCCTCTTCCACCAAATCCACCTGTGTCACGCATGAGAACAGAACACGAACCACCACCTTCCAACTTGTGATGTCAGGCTCCAGCGGACTTGCACGAATTGCACCGGGACTTCGCAAGACCAATAGTGCTTGGCTACGGAAATGAGCTGTGCTTGCGAAACAAGAGTGGTAACGTGCAAAATTAGGTCGTCAAAGACGAGATTCCCAAGGGAGTTCGCAAAAACTTCTGTGGCCATCCCTGACCACACAACCAGTTTCTAGGCAATGAAATTCCAAATTCTAACAAAAACTGGCTATGGAATTCTGGCCTTGAGGAACACGGAGAATATTCCTCACTGTCCAGTTCTTTGCTTTGGCTTTTGATTTTTTCCTGTCAGTTTTAGCTGAAGCCCCATTCACGCGTTTGCCTTGCTTACCAGTTTCGATCTTCTGCGTTTCTGAAGCTAGTGCAGGCTAAGCTTACCTAGCTTCAAGCTTGTCCGCCCACGCATGGCTTTCGCTGGGTGGCTGCGCCGAAGCAGCAGCCACCGAAGAACCGTAAGCGCGCTAAAATCCCCGCTTCCGCTTCAGCTGCTTAGACAGCTCGCGCCAGCCGCCATTGCCGCGAGCTACTTGGCGGAAGGCTTGGCGCAAGGTTCCCCTGCTGCGGGGAGTTTCCACAGCGGCGCTACAGGCGTGTGCGGAAGCGGAGGGTCCGCGGTGCTGTCTTCCGCCGGTCCGCCAGGCGGATGGCGACATTTGGGGAAGCAGGGGGACAGCGGGGAGGAGGACTCGGACAATGACCATAGCGTGGATGTCACTCCATGGGTCCGCAGCGTCGCCAGGTCGGTGGTCAATGTTGTGACGTTTTGACCTTTTGAGTCTGACTCGAAATTCGGACAATGACCATCGCGTGGATGTCACTCCATGGGTCCGCAGCGTCGCCAGGTCGGTGGTCAATGTTGTGACGTTTGACCTTTTGAGTCTGACTCGAAATTCGGACAATGACCATAGCGTGGATGTCACTCCATGGGTCCGCAGCGTTGCCAGGTCGGTGGTTGATGCTGTGATATTTTGACCTTTGAGTCGATTCGAGAGATTCGGAAAATGACCGTTGCATATATTTCACTTCATGAGTCCGCAGCGTGGCCTGGTTGGTAGTTTAATGGTGAAGTAACTTGATTACTCCAGGCAGCGAGTAATCTATGTAACATTGGTGAACAGTAATGCGTAGATGGCGAGGTCCTGTTACAATCGTTAGGCGAAACGGAAGCCTCAACACATTGCGTCTCACTCACCTTAAGTTGGCTGTCGTGTCACTGCTTACCCTAAAATGGCCGTCGTTTTCCGTTGCATGCTCGCTCACCTTGAATGTCCGTCTGACTGTCTGTCGCCTCACACAGGGTGAACCCTACCTTCAATGTGTTGCTCTTTTCTAACCTTGTCCCTGTCACCTGCGTGCAGCGGCGTGGATCTGCTGCGCAACCCCAAGTACAACAAGGGGCTGGCCTTCACAGAGGAGGAGCGCGACCGCCTGTACCTGAACGGGCTGCTGCCTGCCGGCTACATGAGCCAGGACCATCAGGTGGGTGGGACTGACTGCTAGCAGGCTATGTGAACCACACTGACTGCTAGCAGGCTATAAGAACAACACTGACTGCTAGCAGGCTATAAGAACAACACTGACTGCTAGCAGGCTACATGTACCACACTGACTGTTAGCAGGCTAAATGATCAGGCCCAGGTGGGACTGGCATTTCCTGAGGACATATTGCTGGCTGACATATAAGCCACACACTGCCTGCACTCAGGCTACATGAGCCAGGACCACCAGGTGAGCTTGACCGCTAGCAGGCTGTTCAAGCCACCCCACCTTCTTTCCCTCCCGCCCTCCCTCCGTCCGTCCCCTACCTCCTGCCACGTTGACCGCGTGTTGGCGAACCTGAAGGAGGCACAGCCAGACCTGCAGCACAGTCAGACCTGCAGCACAGTCAGACCTGCAGCACAGTCAGACCTGCAGCGCTATGTGCAGTGCACCTCATAGCATTGCAGGAGCGCTAAACTCCCCCGCCCTCCCATAACCCCCCTCCTCCCCCCCCTCCCCCCCCACCCCTCTTCTCGTCCATACGTACATTATTCTCACTGACCCCACCAGGTCGACCGAGTGTTGGCGAACTTAAAGGAAGCGCAGTCGGACCTGGCGCGCTACGTGCACCTGATGGCACTGCAGGAGCGCAACGAGCGGCTCTACTACCGTGTGCTCGTGGACCACATTGAGAAGCTCATGCCCATCGTGTGAGTTGCAGAGGGAGAGATGCGATGTGATAGTGAATGTCACAAGGGCTCACCGACGGCTCTTCTACCGCTTGCTCGTGGACCACATTGAACAGCTCATGCCCATCGTGTGAGTTGCAGAGAGGGCGAGTGGTGGTGTCAGAATGGTGCTTGAGTGTAGAAAGGGTGCAACGAGCGGCTCTACTACCGCGAGCTCATGGACCACATTGACAAGCTCATGCCCATCCAGGGCGAGTGGTGGTGTCAGAATGGTGCTTGAGTGTAGAAAGGGTGCAACGAGCGGCTCTACTACCGCGTGCTCGTGGACCACATTTAGAAGCTCATGCCCATCGTGTGAGTTGCAGCCAGAGGCAGGGGGGTTGTGATGGCAGTGATTGCAGTGAGTGTGACAAGGGCTTGCCTTAGGCTCTTATTTCTCCCACGTGCTCGTCCAGGGCTCTTTCACCGCGTGCCGGTGGACCACATTGAGCAGCTCATGCCCATCGTGTGAGTCGCAGAGGGAGGGGGGTTATGATGGTAGTGGTGGTAGTGAGTGTGCTAATGTAATGTCAAACCGTTCATCCCTCCTCCCCACTCCCTCCTCCCCACTCCCTCCTCCCCACTCCCTCCTCCCCACTCCCTCCTCCCCACTCCCCACTTCCCACTTCCCACTTCCCATTCCCCACTTCCCACTCCCCACTCCCCACTCCCTACTCCCCATGGCCCATTCCCACATCCGTCCCCTTCCTCCACCACAGCTACACCCCCGCGGTGGGTCTGGCGTGTGAGCGCTTTGGGCTGCTGTTCCGGCGGTCGAGAGGACTCGAAATGTGACGTCACCTTGTTCCTCCCCACTCCTCACTCCCCATCGCCATCATCCTCTCTGGGCAGCTACACCCCCACAGTGGGTCTGGCGTGTGAGCGCTTTGGGCTGCTGTTCCGGCAGCCGCAGGGGCTCGAAATGTGACGTCATCCCATCCCTCCCCACTTCCCACTCCCCATCCCCCATCCCCCATCCCCTTTCCATCCAGCTACACCCCCACGGTGGGCCTGGCGTGTGAGCGCTTTGGGTTGCTGTTCCGGCGGCCGCGGGGGCTGTTTGTGTCGCAGAAAGACCGCGGGCGAGTGATGGAGCTGCTCAAGAACTGGCCGGAGAGGCGTGTACGAGCTATTGTTGTCACGGATGGGGAGAGAGTGCTTGGGCTTGGAGACCTGGGAGTTCAGGTGAGATGAGATGCCTGGGAGTGCAGCGCGGGTGAGATGAGATGCCTGGGAGTGCAGCGCGGGTGAGATGTGAGGGAGGTCGGGTGATGGAGATGCTAAAGGACTGGCCTGAGTGGGTAGAGCGAGCGATAGTGGTCGCGGATGGGGAGGTGGTGCTGGGACTTGGTTACCTGGGCGGTGCAGGTGAGGTGTCGTGAGACATGGAGTGCAGCGCGATGTGGGTGAGGGGAAGGCCTTTTCTGTGTCACAGAGGGATCGCGGGCGGGTGATGGAGCTGCTTAAGGACTGGCCTGAGCGGCGCTTGCACACCATTGTGGTAGCGGATGGGGAGCTGGTGCTGGGACTTGGTTACCTGGGCGGTGCAGGTGAGGTGTGATGGGCGTGCATGTGAGGTGTCGTGAGACATGGAGTGCAGTGCAATGTGGATGAGCGATGTGGATGAGCGGAAGGCCTATTTTGTGGCACAGAGGGATCGCGGGCGGGTGATGGAGCTGCTTAAGGACTGGCCTGAGCGGCGCTTGCGCACCATTGTGGTAGCGGATGGGGAGCTGGTGCTGGGACTTGGTTACCTGGGCGTGCATGTGAGGTGTGATGGGCGTGCATGTGAGGTGTGATGGGCGCGCATGTGAGGTGTGATGGGCGCGCATGTGAGGTGTGATGGGCGCGCATGTGAGGTGTGATGGGCGCGTGGTCAAGGCCACAGGCTGTTTGTGTCGCCAGAGGGACCGAGGGAACTGAAGAGGTGATGGAGCCGTTGGAAACCTGGCTTGAGAGGTGTGTGCTGTGTCTTGAGGTCGTTTTTGAGGCGCCTCAAAAACGACCTCGAGGTGTGTGCTGTGTCTTTTTTAGAATTCTCAAAAACACCACACCCTGCAACATCAGGGCGGGTGATGGAGCCGCTCAAGAACTGGCCTGAGAGGTGTGTGTGGGCTATTGTTGTTTTGAGTGGGGAGAGAGTGCTTTTGCTAGGGGGCCTGGGCGTGCAGGTGAGGTTTGATAACATGCGCGTGTGGATGTTCACATCCCAACCCCTGCTACCAGTCCTCTCCTTTTTCCTGACAATCCTCTCTCCCTGTGTCGTCAACTCTCTCCCTCCCTGCTGCCCTAACTCTTCCCCACAACCTTCTCCCTCTACTCGCCCTCCCAACCGTCCCCCGCCCTGCTGCGTCAGGGCATGGCGATAGCAGTGGGCAAGCTGACGCTGTACACAGCGTGTGGAGGCAAACCAGCCAACTCTACGTACTCACCCTGTCCCTTCCCCTCTCCCTGTCCTCTCATATCCCTCACCCCCTACTCGCCCTCCCAACCGTCCCCCGCTCTGCTGCATCAGGGCATGGCGATAGCAGTGGGCAAGCTGACGCTGTACACAGCATGTGGAGGCATCCACCCCGCAGAGGTAGGTAGCAGAGGGAGTGGGGGAGGATTCATGGTTTATGGCTTGGCTCGTGGGGCGTAGGTCAGAAGGATGGGCAGGCTGACGCTCTGATGGGCATCTGGGCAACTAAAGCGTCAGCTTGCCCATTAGGCTGACGCTCTGATGGGCATCTGGGCAACTAAAGCGTCAGCTTGCCCATTAGGCTGACGCTCTGATGGGCATCTGGGCAACTAAAGCGTCAGCTTGCCCATTAGGCTGACGCTCTGATGGGCATCTGGGCAAATAAAGCGTCAGCTTGCCCATTAGGCTGATGCTCTGATGGGCATCTGGGCACCACAACCATGCTCTGCCACAACCATGCTCTGCCACAACCATGCTCTGCCACAACCATGCTCTGCCACAACCACAACCACAACCAATAAAGGTCCTTCTCACCTCCCTTTCTCACTCACCTCTTGCCTTCCATCCCCCATATGTGCTGTGGCCGCCGCCCACCCCTCATCCCAGTGTCTGCCTGTGACCATCGACGTGGGCACAAACAACCAGGCTTTGCTCAATTCAAGGCCCTTTCTACCGGCTTGCGTCCACCCCCCTCTCACACATCTGTTGCCATCCTCCATATGTGCTGTCTTCCCACACCCCTCATCCCAGTGTCTGCCTGTGACCATCGACGTGGGCACCAACAACCAGGCCCTCCTCAAGGACCCCTTTTATCCGGGGCTCAGGCAACCGCGTGTAACGGGAGAGGTATGCTCTCACTCCCTCTCCCCCAACTCATCTTCACAACCGCCTGTGCTCTCACTACCTCTCTTCCAACGTAATTCAAAACCGTCTTTGCTCTCACCCTCTCTCTCCGCTCTTCATCCCCTCTCCCACTTCCCCTCACGATCTTCCCGTCTCTCCCTCCCCTCTCTCCCTCGGGTTCTCACGCCTCCAGGAGTATGATGAGCTGATAGACGAGTTTATGGAGGCGTGCAAGCAGCAGGTCGGGTCGGGTTGGACACGACAAGAGCCGTCTCAGCCCTCTCTTCCCTGAACCTCTCTTCCCTGAACCTTTCTTCCCGACCTCAATCTCCCACCACTCTTTCCCCTCTCCCATTTTTCCATGCGTTTCCCCACCATCAGGAGTACGACGAGCTGATAGACGAGTTCATGGAGGCGTGCAAGCAGAGGTTCGGGTCGGACGTGCTCATTCAGTTTGAGGACTTTGCCAACCACAACGCCTTCCGCCTGCTCTTCCAGTACCGCGGCTCTCACCTTGTGTTTAACGACGACATCCAGGTGGGCTTGTCGTCATGCCGGTTTCTGTCTAAATCTTAAATCCAGAGCTACGGTGCTTGCCTGCGTCCAGTGTTTGCCAACCACAACGCCTTTCGCCTGCTTTTCCAGTACCATGGCCCTCACCTGGTGTTAAACGACAATATCTAGGTGTGTGAGTGTGGTTAGGTTTAGATTTGAGACACAGAACACACATGGGCTGCTTGCCTCTCTCCCCCTGCTAGGCTCATCCCTCTCAAACCAGACCATCCTATTCTTCGGGGCGGGCAAGGCTGAAACTGGCGTTGCTGAGCTGCTGGCGTCCACTGCTCGCGTCCACTGCTCCTGCTAGTGCCCTTGCTGCTGCCTGCGCCCCTGCTGCTCGCCTCATGCATGTTGCCTTTCCCTCCTCCCCCCACCCTCCACACCCCCCCTCCTCCTCGACGATCTCTCTCCTTCAGGGAACAGCCGTAGTGGCCCTGGCAGGGCTGCTTGCCGCACTCCCGCTCCTCGGCTCATCCCTCTCCAACCAGACCATTCTCTACTACTCTGTCCTCCACTCCCTTTCCTCCCCTCACCATCTCCCTCCCACCAGGGCACGGCAGCAGTGGCCCTGGCGGGGCTGCTTGCAGCCCTACCCCTCCTAGGCTCATCCCTCTCCAACCAGACCATTCTCTTCTTCGGGGCGGGCGAGGCTGGCACCGGCATTGCTGAGCTGCTGGCGACAGCAATCAGCAGAGAGGCAAACATATCCCTTGCAGAGGCTCGAGGGCGCATCTGGCTGGTGGACTCCAAGGTGAGACCCTCCCAAATGTTGCAACCATTTGATAAGTTACATGTCTGACCATGTGGTCGAGTCAAACAGTGAGGCCGGCACCGGCATTGCTGAGCTGCTGGCGACAGCAATCAGCAGAGAGGCAAACATATCCCTTGCAGAGGCTCGAGGGCGCATTTGGCTGGTGGACTCCAAGGTGAGACCTTTGGGTTGCGGTGTTTGAGACGACTTGCAACATCATCTTGAGACGTCTCAAGGCTCGAGGATGCATTTGGCTGGTAGACTCCATGGTGAGACGCTAGTTTTCTCCTTTTGTTTGTAAATCGGTACAAGGGCTACACCACACCTAACGCGTGAGCCTGCGGGTGAGTTGGATGTGAATGAATCGATGACTAAGTATGAGGGTGGAAGTTGTTTGTGTTCTACAATTCACGCATCCAGTCATCGATTTTTTCACATCCAATTCACCCGCGGGCTCATGCGTTAGGTGTGGTGTAGCCTTTGTACCAACAAGAAAATAGAGAAAACCAGCGTCTCATCCTATCCGTTCATCCTTACTTGATCTGCCTTTTTCACTTTCTGCTCACGAGAATGGTCCGTCCATCACTCGTATCCTCCCATTTCATCTCTGCTGCATCCCTTGAACTTGCCTGCCTCTTGTTCTACTGCCATTGCCCCCCTTCCCCCCATGCTCCCAGGGCCTGGTGGTGCGCAGCCGAGTGGACTCGCTGCAGCCACACAAGGTGCCCTTCGCCCATGACCACCACTCGGCACTCTTCACACTCTTCAATGACCATCTCTCTGTGATTTGGTCCTCTGCCATCCCTCCCTCCCGCCCTCCCTCCCTCCCTCCTTCCCTCCCTCCCTCCCTCCCCTTCCTCTCTCCCAGGGCCTGGTGGTGCGCAGCAGAGTGGACTCGCTGCAGCCACACAAGGTGCCCTTCGCCCATGACCACCCCGAGTCAGGCGATCTCGTGGACACCATCCATGTGAGGGGTTGGGGTTGGAGTTGGGGTTGGGTTTGGGGTTGGGTTTGGGGTCGGGGTTGGGGTTGGGTTTGGGGTTGGGTTTGGGGTTGGGGTTGGGGTTAGCAAGCTTATGAGTGCGTGCACTCAAGTGTGTCATGGGACCATACCACCTCGTCATGCTCGTCATGACCACCCCGAGTCAGCTGACCCTCCATCCATGTGTGTGAGGGGCTTCAAGCAACGGTACCATGCACCTGATTGGGAGATGCAAGTCTGTGACCATTTCACCACAGCTGTGCACGCCTCGCTCCATTATGCCGCATCGGTTCATTTCTCTCAATCCTCTTGGCACAAAAAAAAAAAAAAACAAAAACAACAACAACAACAACAACAACACACACACACACACACACACACACACACACACACACACACACACACACACACACACACATGCATTGTTTCGCTTCCTCTCTCGCCCCACTCTCTCCATTCCCTAGGCCATACGGCCAACAGCGCTGATAGGAGTGTCAGGGCAGGCAGGGACGTTCACCCAGCCCGTGTGTGAAGCCATGGCCCAACTCAACGAGGTGAGGGGAGGGTTGCTTTTCGGACTGAGAGATGTGGGTTCCTGCTGCTGTTGTTGTTGCTGCGTGCTGCCCCTGCTCCTATTGCTGCTCTGATCCTACTGCTTCTCCTGCTCCTCCTGCTCTTCCTGCTCCTGCTGCTTCAATTTCCCATCCACTTCGCTATCGGATCCATCACAACCGCTCTCAGACATATCACAACCGCTCTCCTTTCTCTCGTTTCAACCCCTTTGCTTGCTCGTCCTCCCCATCCCCCACCAGCGTCCTGTCATCTTTGCCCTCTCCAACCCCACGTCGCTCTCTGAGTGCACAGCAGAGGATGCATACCAGTGGACCCAGGTGTGTGAATGGGTTAAGATGGGTGGATGGATCTATATGCGGGTGGATAACCCCAGGTGGGTTTGGTGGTGCAACATGAATGAAGGTGCTGTGCTCACGTTAGTGGTCTTATATGATTGCTCCAATGCGAGTGTGCTTATGTGAATTTAATCACAGGGGTAAGCGTTTTTGCCATTCACTGACCTCTCACTCTGTTTGCCTCGGCCCTCGACCCTCTCACCTCTGTCCACTCCACCCCACCAGGGCCGAGCCGTATTCGGCAGTGGCTTCCCGTCCCCCCCGGTTGAGATGGATGGGAGGCGGTTTGTGCCGGCGCAGGGCAACAACGCGTATGTGTTCCCTCAAGCCCACTTGTCTTCTCCTTTCACTCTTCCCCCCACCAGGGCCGAGCCATATTCGGCAGTGGCAGCCGGTTCCCCCCAGTGGAGCTGGGCAGCAACCTCTATATCTTCCTGCAGGCCCACCCACTCCACCCCTCCGCACCCCACTCCACCCCACCAGGGTCGAGCCATATTCGCCAGTGGCACCCCGTTCGCCCCCGTGGAGCTGGATGTGAGGTGGTTCGTGCCCGGGCAACGCGTATGTGTTTCCTCAAGCCCATTTCTTCACATCCCATTCCTCCCCCCACCAGGGCCGAGCCGTATTCGCCAGCGGCAGCCCGTTCCCCCCAGTGGAGCTGGGCGGCAGACGGTTTGTCCCCGGGCAGGGCAACAACGCGTATGTGTTCCCCGGGATCGGCCTCGGTTGTCTCATGTGTGGCGCCACCAGGATGAGAGACGAGATGTTCCTCGCTGCTGCTGAGGCGCTGGCTGCACAGGTGAGGGCGATTGAGGCACTGGTGGGGCGGCACAGGTGACAATTTATCATTGCTGCAATGATTGCAGCACAGCGATATCGACATGTGTGGCGCCACGCACATGAGAGACGAAATGTTCCTCGCTGCTGCTGATACACTCACAGCACAGGTGAGTGGTGATGACAGGGAGCTGGGGCACGTGTACCCACCCATTTGGACGATTTTGTTGTTTGCGTCCCAAAACAATCACTTTCTCGTCTGTGTTTTTGCAACCTCTTTGCATGTGTGTCTGCCCATTTATTTTCCCCTCCTCCCACTCCCATCCCAAAAACTCCCTCGCTTCTTTCCCCCTTCCCCTTCTCCCTTACTTTCCCCATGCGTGTTTCTCAGGTGAGCGACGATGACAGGGAGCAGGGGCGCGTGTACCCACCCATTTGGAAGATCCGACAAATCTCAGCACACATCGCCAGGGCTGTTGCCGCCAAGGCCTACGACCTCGGTGAGTTGGAAAGATAGCTGTAGGGCTGTAGGGAGGGCAGAGCAGGCAGGGGTAATGAGCCCTCATTCTTAGCCACCCTGAATGATCTCAGCACACATCGCCAGGGCCGTTGCCTCTAAGGCATATGATCTTGGTGAGCTGAGAGGAGAGCTGCCGCGCTGTAGGGAGGGCAGAAAAGGCAGGAGGCATTCATGTGCCCTCATTCTTAGCCACACTGAACAAGCGCAGCACACATCATGAGGGCGTATGACATTGGCAAATTGTAGGTAGGACATCATTTCATGCGGAGGGGTATACTGTCGTATTTGTTGTTTGATTCGGTGCAAAATATCATTGAACCAGGTGAGTAGGGGGCTCGTTGATGCCCTGTCCTGTGAGACAGCACGTAGGCGTGGCACATGACTACCGTATCATGCCATGCCGTCACCTTGTCTTAGCCCATTTTTTAACCCGTGTGTGTGCGTCACTCTCTCCTGCTCCCCTCTCAGGTGTGGCGACGAACTTGCCCAAGCCACCAGACCTCCTGTCATACGCCTTCAGCAAAATGTACAACCCTCACTACAGAAGCTTCCGATGATGCCAGCAGGAAGCTTCCTCCCAGATCTAAAAATTGATACCGTATGTTGTGTGCTACTGTACCACTGCTGATCCCGTAGCAGTTATTCAGTAGCGTGGGTACTGGAATTGTACGGTATGCATGGCAGAAGGAACCCCACTTTAGAATGTTGAATACTTGGTCAGGCGGTTAGTCGAGCGGTACACTGGCAATGGGTTCAGGACGGAATCTACACCATCCATCACACACATTACCTTCCAAAAACGTCCGGCAAAACACAGTAATGCTCCTCCGGACAAAGCTGGTCATTCTGAAACTCTCGAAAATGCATAGCATGATGTATAATTTTACAAGGTTTGAAAATGCCAGTGGCTTATTGTCACTGCTGAAAACATGATACTACAACGATCATTGGCAGCATGAACACGGATCCTGTGGAAGGTACATCATCAGGCCTCGGGTACCTTGCTTGGACGTACCGCCTGCAAATACTGCAATCAGATAGCGAGGCATGAGTCGCACAGCAGGCCGGAACAGCGAGTGAACAACGCAAACGCGCTGTTTTGGCATGCAAAATGTGGTGAAGAAAGCGTTGAATGTGAGTGGACATGGAGGCCAATGGAACGAGCGAAAAACATCCCATCGGTACTATGAGCCACGTGTCCCTCTCGGGAACCCCGCGAAACCAGCCTCCGTATTGGTGTAACCAGCAGCTCTGCCACGTCAGCCAACCACACCAGCCGCCGAAGCAGATTGTGAAACCAAGTCCCACGATCCGCCGAAGCAGATCGCGAAACGAGGTCCGACGACCCGCCGAAGCAGCTGCCAGGGTTGGCTTAACGAAGCGAGCTGCGGATTACGCGGTGGCTGGAAAAGAGAGGAATCCCCTTGGCAGACTATTGTGAGAAACAACAGTACAAAAGAAAAGCCTCATTACCTGCGAAACGAAGGACCGATTGGTCGATTAAAAACACGAATCAAGAGGGATCATGTGCCCCCGATTTACTGTCACAATCGATTGTCGTTAGAGCCAGTGACGAGGGAGAGCAGGGTTTTCAAAAGCAAGTGCAACTAGTGCAATGAGGATGACGGAAAGGGGTGGATAGAGGGAGGACGGCGAGCGAGAATGAGATGAACAAGCAGCTAAATGAGTGGCTGGAGCGCAGCAGGGAGAGGGGGTACAGGGTGTGCGAGTTCAGTGGGAGAGACCAGCCAGAAGAGCAGGGGGGAGATGGAGTGGAAAGGAATTGAGTTCAGGGTTTTGGCCTCCCAGAACGGGGTCGGGGGGAGAGGTCGGGCGGAGAGTTCAGGGTTTTGGCCTGGGTTGCGGATGCCTCCCGCAAGCAAGTGGGGGGTTTGCGGAGGAAGATTGGCACGCTGTTCCCCAAGGTTGCGGCAAGGGATGTGGTGTAGTATGTAACAGCACGAGTTCAGTTTCACTTGCGCATATACCTAAAGTGAGAAGTAATCATCAAACTCTCACCTATGCAGAGAAAGAAATGAGAGAAGGGATGTAAGCATTCACACCAATCTTGGTTTGCAATTTGGAAGCCAGCTTCTCGCTTCACAGTTTAAAAAATCCCATAGTATGCATTGCAAAATATTTCCGTTTTTGTTTTTTTTGTTGTAAGCATGCCTTCGACCAGATCCGCAATATGTCAGTATTGATCTATGCTGCAGACAGTTATGGTGGCGGAGATCCTTGTCTGAGGTACATTCGGACGGCATCCACCTGAGTCCCCGTGACGTCCCGCTACACGACTGCTTATCAGTCAAAAACCTTCTCATTCTATTCTTGTCACCACCCCTCGCCCTTCCTTAGCCGAATCTCACATGCCGTTAGTGCGACAAGATTGAAAATTTCCTTCCTGTGAGGCAAAACATGTGAATGTTGCGGGACAAGGTGATAGTTCCTGAATCCCCTAATTTGACCCCTACTAACGCACATTCGGACGCGGCAAACGTGGTGATTCTTTCGCATCTGACAGCATTGCGCGATAGGACTTGTCAGCCCAAGTAGTGGGACGAAAAATTGTCTGACTTTTGTTCATCTACTAGTTCAACCCTGTTGCTTGTTTCCTTACTACCTCTCGCCTGGTTTCTTGCTCCTGCTTGCGTCGAAGCGTAACAATGCGTGCCTTTCTTCCCTCGAAGCTGCGTCACGCCGGCCCGCGTCAGCCTTATTCGAGCAATACAACGCATTCCGCATCCCCAGTGAACAACGGAGATAATAATGAAAATGCGATGAATGATCCTGCTGCACGGGATGCCTCCGTTCGTAGCAGAGGCAATGCCGCCGTAAGCAGCTCTCTGCTGACGTCACGACCTGGTACGAAGGGAACCTGCCTTCTGCTGACGTGCTTTCAGATTTCCATTTTCAGGCTCATTTCGTCCCTAAATGTTCAGCAAGTTGTTGATGTCCCGCTATGAAAGCCTACTAACGTTTTCAGTTTTCCTGCTCAAACGGCAATCAAGAAAGAAAGAAAGAAAGATAGATAAAAAGAAAGCTTGCACGGTTCATCTCACCTGCTTGGTTATGGGTCCTAGTGCTGTCATTCATAGTACATACTGACCGCACAACCAGATTCCCCGCTTCTTCCTTCCTTCCGCTATTGCACCATCGATCGACAGTCAGGGTTAGTAGCAGCAGCACACAGCGAAGACCCCTTCTGAATGTGAGAATGATTGGATTCCTCTAAACCAATTCCCCTGTTCTTTCCCTTTCTACCTCCCCTCCCCCTCCCCCCCTTCTCCCAGCCACTGCGCCATCAGGCGGCAGGCAGGGCCGGCGGCAGCACGCAGCAAAGCCTCCCTCTGGGGCAGAAGCACACCACAGGAGCAACAGCAACGATGGTGCTGCCACTGCCGGTACCGATGCGACGGGTTCCACTGCTCCTGGTGCCTCCTCCTCCGCCGCCGCCGCCGCCGCTGCTGCAGCTGCCGACACTCGCGGCTGGCCATTCAACTTGGAGACCAGCCCTGGCGCTCCTGCAGCAGCAGCAGGAACAGAAGGGGCGGCAGCCAAAGGGGGCAAAGAGGGTGGAGAAGAAAGGTCCTGGCCACCCGAGATGCTCGTGCTAGACTTGCACTCTGATTCTTCCCCTCTCACACATGCTGCTGCTGCTGCTGCTGCCGCTGCTCCGGCTGGTGCTGGTGGCAGTGGTGGCGGTTCTGGTGATGGTAATGGTGGTGGTAATTCTTTTGCAGAGCATGATTCACAGCAGCATGAGCATCAACACGAACATGATCTTGTGCACGAGCTTAAGCAGGAGCAGGAGAGGAGTCAGAGGACTCTCAGCTTTGCGGGGTTACCAGAGGACGTGTGGGTGAAGGTGCTGCAGATGCTCAAACCGGCAGATCTGACGGCCGTCAGGGCCACCTGCAGCTCGCTCTACCGGCTAGCCGGTACGTAGGGAGAGCGAGTGCGAGCACATTGTTTCTCGACAGAGTGGTGATTTTTGCCGAGTCTCAGTGTCTCCTTTTGTCGCTTCAGCTGTTCCTCCTCCTCGCTGCTCTCATCCTCCCCACCCCCCTCCAACCCCCCCTCGTCCCTCCCCTCCCCCTCTCCTGCCGTCCCCCTCCCCCCCCTACTCCCCCCCAGTGCGCGCACGCCCATCAGTCTCCATCCGCGTGCCCCCCAAGCGCCCCTCCGACTTCCCCTCCTTCCTCGCCCGTGCCGGCCCCTCCCTCTCCGCCCTCACCATCCTCCCCACCGCGCAGCTCCCTGCCACGTGTCTCGCCCTCATTGGCCAGCACTGCCCGGGGCTAGTTACCCTGAATTTGACAGACCAGAAGGGGGTGACTGATGCTGTGTTGGCAGGGGTTGGGGGAGGCTGTGTTGGGTTGAAGACTCTCAAGGTGAAGGTGCATCATGGGAAGCTGACTCAAGGGTTAGAGGCAATTGCGGTTAATTGCAAGATGCTAGAGACGCTCTCTCTTCCCACTCAGGTGAGGCTCTGAACCACCATTTGGAACCTGCACATTCACCTCCGTACCTGGACATTCACCTCCGTAGCTGCAAGCACTTTCCATACCTGCGTCCACTTTCCATACCTGCGTCCACTTTCCATACCTGCGTCCACTTTCCATACCTGCGTCCACTTTCTATACCTGCATTCATCTTTCACACCTGCATTTTCCGTACCTGCGTTCAGGTCCGGGAGTCGAGCCTTGGGCCGCTCCTCTCCTCCTTCCCGCATCTCACCCGTCTCGACCTGAGTTGGAGCACCAAGCTCGCAGACCCCGCCTTTGCCACCATCGCCTCCTGCTGCCCGCGCCTCATGCACCTCGACGCCTCCTTCTCCCAGGTGAGCGTGCTTCAGGGGATGTGTGCACACATGCATTCTATTCAAGGATAAACAAACACAACCATGCACACACACATGTGCGCGCAGACCCCGCCTTTGCCACCATCGCCTCCTGCTGCCCGCGCCTCATGCACCTCGACACATCTTTCTCCTGGCGACCCTGGCATGAACGTCTCCCAGGTGAATATTATTCTCAAGGGGGGACGTTCATGCCAGGGTCGCTGCGGCTGCTGCTGCTGCTGCTGCTGCGGCTGCTGCTGCTGCTGCTGCGGCTGCTGCTGCTGCTGCTGCTGCTGCTGCTGCTGCTGCTGCTGCTGCTGCTGCTGCTGCTGCTGCTGCTGCTGCTGCTGCTGCTGCTGCTGCTGCTGCTGCTGCTGCTGCTGCTGCTGCTGAGTCTGCTTTTGAGTCGACTCAAAAACGTGCTGCCCGCGCCTCATGCACCTCGACACATCTTTCTCCTGGCGACCCTGGCATGAACGTCTCCCAGGTGAATATTATTCTCAAGGGGGGACGTTCATGCCAGGGTCGCTGCGGCGGCTGCTGCTGCTGCTGCTCACATGTCTGTGCTTTTGTATCTGTGCCAACCCACACCCCACACAGATCTCCCACATAGGCCTCGCTTCCCTAGCTGCCCACTTCCCCTCCCTCTCCTCCCTCCGCCTCAACGCCTGCCACGCCCTCCGCCCCCCCCTCTGCCTCCCCGTCCTCGCTCGCCTTTCCTCTCTGCAATCCCTCGACCTCGGCCAAAGCCCCCTGCTGGCTGACTGGATAGAGGGGCTTCTATCGATACAGGGCGGGATATCTGAAGGAAAGGACAAGGCAGGAGCGAAGGGGAGGTCTGGGGCAGCTGCTGCAGGGACTAATCCCCTTGCTGGTTTTCCTCGGTCTGCTTCTGCACCTGTTGTTACTGCACCTCCTGCTGCTGCTGCTGTTACGACTGCAGCTGCTGTTACCGCTGCACCTTCACCTGACCAGTTGCTGCCTGCTCTCCAGACACTGACAGCGTACTTCCAGGCGAATCAGATCATCCATGCCACATGGATCGAAAGGTGAGTGCATGCTGCTGTGAAAGGTGAGTGCATGCTGCTGTGAAAGGTGAGTGCATGCTGCTGTGAAAGGTGAGTGCATGCTGCTGTGAAAGGTGAGCGCATGCTGCTGTGAAACCCCTGTGCGAGTGTGTCTACTCAAAAGTCCCTAATCCGCTGCATCAACTTTGGCACCATGTCGAGAATCCTTTTCTCTCCCTCTCCCCCTCATACGCAACGCTCAGCTTCTCTTCTCCCCTCTTCTCACCTTCCCCTCCCCTCCCCCACACCCCTGCAGCCTCACTCTCGCCTGTCCCTCTCTCCGTCGCATCAACTTCGGCACCACATCACGAATCCTCCTCTCCCCCACTCCCACCACCACCACCGCACCACTCACCACGAGCAGCAGCAGCAGCAGCCCTGCCAACGCCCCCCATGGCCCTCCCGCTAGCACACCCTCCCCCTCACCTCACAGGCGCGTCCTGACCCCCAGAAGCCCGGGCATCTTCTCCCGCCTCGCAGCCCTTGCTTCTCCTCGCACCAAGCTGCCTGAAGGATCCTCTGGGGCTGGTGGGGGACCCACTGGTGCTGGGGTTGCCTGTGCCAGTGGCAGTGCTGCTGCTGGAAACGGAGCTGCTGGTGGTGGTGCAAGCGGTTGTGCTCGTGATGCTGCTGCAGCTGCGTTGGACTTGCCAGCAGCACCAGCACCAGCACCAGCACCAGCACCAGCACCAGCACCACCAGCAGCAGCTGCTGCTTCCAGAGAAACTCTCGCTGCTTCTCCCGCTCCCCCTCCCACTGCTCTCCCTTCTGCCACCACCGCCACTGCCTTGGCTCACACTCCCCCCAGAACTCCGACGCACGCACCACCACTCGAGTCCCTTGTGCTGCCGTGTTTCGGCATGACAGACACAGTCATCTCCCTCATTGCTTCCGCCTGCCCCAGCCTCACGTCTCTCCGCTTTGATCCTGGCTCCAAAAAACGTTATGCGAAGATTCTTGGAATGTTCCAAGTCGCTGGCGCGCTGGATGTGAGTGGCTCGGCTTGCAGGCTTCCCAGAAGGTTCCAAGCTCGTGGGCGTTTGTGCCCGCCCCCCCGTACACCTGCAGTCTGACAGTTTTTTTTCATGTTTTTCTCCAGTCTTTGACTTTTGAGTCGACTCAAAAGTCAGCTCTTTTTTTCCATGTTTTTCTCCAGTCTTTGTTCGCACTTCTTTCCATCCTTCAAACCAGTTGCTATGTACAACCACTTCCTCCCCAGAACCCCCCTCCCCCCCCTCACCTACCTTTCCCCACATCCGCGCTCTTAATTTGTTCCCTTGTGCCCTCACTCCCCCCCCCCCTCCCCCCGCTCTCCCCCGCACATTAGATCGACTGCACAATCACAGACGCTTCGCTCCAATCGCTGGTCGCCAGCTGTCCGTCACTCTCAGAGCTCCATCTCTTCTCAGACTATCTCCTGGGCACCGGTCTCTCCTCCCACTCCCCCTCTGCTCTCTCAAAGGTCCCTTACCGTTTCGAGGGCTCCTGCCTTTCCCCCCCACCCACCCCACTGCCCTCCGCCCATGGCAGATCGACTGCACCGTGACAGACGCTTCCCTCAGATCGCTGGCCGCCAGCTGTCCGTCACTCTCAGAGCTCCATCTCTTCTCAGACTATCTCCTGGGCACCGGTCTCTCCTCCCGCTCCCCCTCTGCACCGCCTTCCACTTCCCCCTCGCCCCCTCTTCCCAATCGTAGTCCACCCATCTCCTCCTCCCCATCCCCACTTCGCCATCACAATACATCCCCGTCCTCCCCACCTTCATCCTCCCCTTCTTCCTCTCCCTCTCCTCCTCCCTCCAAGCCTCCGTATCGCTTCCTCTCCCTCAAGGTTCTCTCAATCACCAGCTGTTCTCTCGCTGACCCAGGCGTTGCCTGCTTAGTCACTGCCTGCCCCAACCTCCTGAAATTGCTGCTGCGAGATTGCATACAGGTGAATCAGCAACTCTCTGACTTTCCCTTTGTTTCCCTCACTCGCCTCTCGCGGAACCCATGCACTCCCGCTCCTTTATTTCTCTGCCCTTCTCTCACTCCGATGCTGTGCTCTGCACTTCTCGTCGACTCTGCTCTCTGATTCTGCTGTGTGGCATGGCAGATCTGGTCTGCATACCACTGGCAGCTCACTGAGGCCGTGTGAGCACTGCAGTGAAGGCATGCGAGAAGCTACAACTGCTGAACGTGTCTGGTTGCACCAGAGTGAACCTCGAGCAGGCTGCTAACCTCTGCTCTGCTGCCTGATTCCGCTCAACTGGTGTTTGTGCCACTGGCAGGTTACTGAGGCAAGTGTAAGCAGTGCAGTCAAGGCTTGCAAGAAGCTTCAACTGCTGGACGTGTCTGGCTGCACCAGAGTGAACCTCAAGCAGGCTGCTAAGGTAGTATCAGCTAGACCGCGGCTGGTGCTTGCAACAGTGAGAAAGGATGCGGAATGAAGCTTTTACCTGTTGGGCGTTTCTGGCTGCACCGTAGGCAATCTGAAGCAGGCTACTAAGGCAATATCAGCTAGTCCGCAGCCGGTGCTTGTAACAGTAAGAAAGGATTCATACTGAGTTACACATCTGATAAGGATTCATACTGAGTTACAAATCTGATATAACTAGCCAAAACTGAGACGAGTCCAAAAAGAGCTGCATGCTCACTTGTCTAACTCTGTTTCCTAACCAGTGAGATTTTATTTGATCCAATCATGCTGATACAACAGAAAGCTTTTGTGACTCGTGTTGTACTGTAGGTATCCAAGTTGATGATAGGAAGCCAACAGTTGTACAATCTCAGAAATGCAATGATGGGGCACACCCATACTCATACCATTCCCCTCCATACAGCCAGGCAGTCCCAGACTCTCTACCTCAGAGTAATGATGGAAAGTACAATGTTAACTAACGTATTTAACAACTCCCTCTGATCTAAATGGAGATCGCCAGATCCTTCACCCAGGGATCAAGGGGCTTCCCAATAGAGTACACAATGAACCCAATCTTCCTCAACGCCTCCACGTCCAAAATGTTCCTCCCATCGAAGATAAACGCAGGCTTTTGCATGCCGTCGTACAGCTTCTGGTAGTCCAGCGTCTTGAACTCGTCCCACTCGGTGATGACTGCGATGCACGACGCGTCCTTGGCTGCCTCGTAGGGAGAAGCGTCCACTGTGACGCGTGAAGAGGCGTCCATGGAGGTGGGCGACTGCATGGGGAGGGGATGGTCCCACTCAAACTTGCCCGTGCCCAGATCTCGCCGAATCTGCTCCTCACTGTGGGATTTGGGAAGGGTTGGGAGGGTAATAGTGGGTCAGGTGGGGTTTATGAGGGAAAAGGACAAGGGAAATGAAACAAGAAACGACAGGATGCATAAGAAACTGGAGAAAACCTCTTAGGATCCATACGAAACTGGTAGACGCCTCTGTTACCACAGTGAAGCCTCTGTTGCGACACCCTGTCCCCAAACCCTTATACCCTGAACAGCAGCCCCTGACCCTGTGTCCGTGGTATCATCTTCGTGACCTCCATCATCTAGCTTAGCTCCCGCAACTCATGTCAACAATGGCTGTTGGAGTGAAGGCGCTGGCTGTTGACTGAGGGCGGTGGCTGTTGACTGAAGGTGGCGGCTGTTGACTGAAGGTGGCGGCTGTTGACTGAGGGCGGTGGCTGTTGACTGAGGGCGGTGGCTGTTGACTGAGGGCAGTAGCTGTTGACTGAGGGCAGTGGCTGTTGACTGAGGGCAGTGGCTGTTGACTGGGGGCAGTGGCTGTTGACTGAGGGCAGTGGCTGTTGACTGCGGCCGGTAATTGAGGGGTAAATTGGAGCGGTTGACTGAGAGGTGGGGGAGCGTTGACTGGGGCGGAAGGGCTGTTGACTGAGGGATGGGGGCGGCGTTGACTGAGGGGTGGAGGAAATGCTGACTGAGGGGTGGAGGAAATGCTGACTGAGGGGTGGAGGAAATGCTGACTGAGGGGTGGAGGAAATGCTGACTGAGGGGTGGAGGAAATGCTGACTGAGGGGTGGAGGAAATGCTGTCTGAGGGATGGGCGAAATGTTGTCTGAGGGATGGGCGAAATGTTGTCTGAGGGATGGGCGAAATGTTGTCTGAGGGATGGGCGAAATGTTGTCTGAGGGATGGGCGAAATGTTGTCTGAGGGATGGGCGAAATGTTGTCTGAGGGATGGGCGAAATGTTGTCCGAGGGATGGGCGAAATGTTGTCTGAGGGATGGGCGAAATGTTGTCTGAGGGATGGGCGAAATGTTGTCCGAGGGATGGGCGAAATGTTGTCCGAGGGATGGGCAGAATGTTGTCTGAGGGATGGGCAGAATGTTGTCTGAGGGATGAGAGGAATGTTAGGTAACCTACCTCAAGCATACGTGACTCTAGCACTCCTCACAACTAGTTACGTACGTGACTTCGGGGTCGTAGATGTGCAGGTACGCGCGGTCGTTGAGCAGTCCGTGGCACACGTCGATGGGTTTTGAGGCTTAGAGCACTAACCCCAAATCCCTTGGTGGTACGTGACTTGACAGACCCGACTTGGGGCACACCCCTCACTCATCAGTTCAACACGTACGTGACTTCGGGGTCGTAGATGTGGAGGTACGCGCGGTCGTTGAGCAGCCCGTGGCACACGTCGATGGCGGGCGTCTCGCGGGTGTCGCCAGTGTCCTTCTTGAACGCGAACCCGAAAATTGCGATCTTCTTGCCCGACACCGTGTTGAACATGGACGACACGATCCTCTGCACGGGGTAAGACAGGACAAGACAAGGCAGTCGATATGAGATCAAATCAGATGGCGATCTTCTTGCCCGACACCGTGTTGAACATGGACGACACGATCCTCTGCATGTGATTGAGGATACGATAAAGGAGTAGGTACAAGATCAGATCGAATGGGACCAGAATTCTGTAGGATACAACGTAAGGTGAAACAATAAAAGAGCCCTTAAAGGCCCAGCCTCCCAATCGGAGTGATAAAAACATTTTCTTTGCACGTCTCAACACACCTTGACGAAGCGGTTCTTCTGGTAGTCGTTGATGTCGATCACCTGCTGCCAGTACTTGGCGCACTCCGTGAGCCCGTTGCACTCACAGATGTAAACCAGGTTCAGAATATCCTGAAACAAGCCAACAAGGGTAGAGAAAGAGAAAGAAAGAAAGAGGATAAGAAAAGAACCCAAACGTCGAACAATTGGGGGCGATACCACACTGACTAGCAGGCACTGGTACCGTCAGGATCACCAGTAAATATAGAGCGCTTACCTTCTGAAAGCAGGAGCCACCAAAGCCAACGCTGGATTGGAGGAAGCGCCTGCCAATGCGAGTGTCCTTGCCAATGGCGAAGGCCACTTCCGACACGTTGGCACCCGTTGCCTGCAGATAAGCAAAGAAAATTGAAGAGATTGAGATGGAGTAAACCCTTGGAAAAGCAGGTACGATCGGCGGAGCAGAGACAAATTATGAGCGCCACGCCAGGTTGTAGCGGCGTCGTACCTCGCAGAGGGCAGAGATGGCGTTGATGGAGGAGATTCTTTGCGCCAGGAACGCGTTGGCTGCGAGTTTCGACAGCTCCGCGGACCAGAGGTTGGTGGTGAGAATGTTCTCCTCAGGCACCCAGTTGGCGTACACTGCCTTCAGCGCAGCCATGGCCTTGCGACCAGATTCCGTCTCCTGACCACCTGTAAGGAGAACAGAGCAAGATGTAAAATTACTCAGTGCAGTCCTTTGGAAGGAATGACTCGGTTATGTTTTTCATTTTGTTAGATTTTGGTTGATTAATGTTTACAATTTGTTCCGCGGCCCTTGGAAGGGTGAGAAATTGCGGGCCATAGTGCCTCGAAACTGGTGCGTGAAGGTATTTCTTACCGATGAGGACGCGGTCAGGCTTCCGCAGATCGTCCATGGCGGTTCCTTCAGCAAGAAACTCTGGATTTGACAGGATCTGCCCATTACAAAACCCATGGTCACGCGAAATTCTCAAATAAAAAACGATTCCCGAGGCCCCTTAATTCAGACCTTGAAAACAAAGCACGAGAAGAATAAAAAGCTGGGCTTACATCAAATTGGACCCCATTCTTGGTGTGTGTCAAGATCTTCTCAATGGCTTCTGCGGTCTTCACAGGGACTGTTGACTTCTCCACAACCTGAAATTCATGAGGAGAACGTCATTTGATTGAACGAAACACATCGTGCAGGATCTGACTTGACCAGACGAAGCTTAGAACAGCCATTCATGACTTTCTTTTAAAGTCGGAGACCTACAATTTTGGGAGAGTTTGAAACATCTGCAATCATGCGGGCGGCGCTCTCCCAGTATGTCAAATCGGCGGCCTTTCCAGCTCCTAGACCCTGTAACCACCAAATAGGTTCGTGAGAAGACGGCAAAAACAAATATAATAACTGAAACGAGGGAATGCGGATCTATAACCGACGGAAGATGCACAGGAAGACCTGTTGCACGTACCCTGGTCTTTGTGGGGGTGTTGACGCTGACAAAGATGATATCGCACAGAGCCACATACTTCTGGACTTCCGTGCTGAAAAACAAATTCCTCCCTCGGCATTCCTTGACCTGCGATCCACCATCCAGAATAGGTAAATCAACTGCTGAGTGACTGCTGAATGGACCAACGCTCGATCGCGCTGCACACGACGTCGAAGGTGATTTTATACGGGTTTGCGCGGCGGTGCGTAATGACTTACAACTTCGTCAAGGCCTGGTTCGTAGATAGGAAGGCGCTCGCTGTTCCATGCGGCAATGCGAGGCTTGCTAATGTCGACGACGTACACCTGAAGGATTATAACAGCCAGCAAAATCTCTCAGACAGACACAAAATCACACTGCTGGACAGCCGATCGAGGGTGAGTGGCAACGGATCTTGCGTAGAAGCCTACAGCGAAAGCGACCGTCGTTCGTACCTCGATGTGGGGACACTTCAAGGCGATCATCGCCATGGTGGGACCGCCGACATAGCCGGCACCAATACAGCAGATCTTCACCATCTTGGCGTGTGAGTCAATGCGGAAGAAACAACGAGCAGGAGACGAGGGAGCTAACTCGACTCACAATGCCAAGCTAGTGTGTCAATTGAGTCACGAGCAACAAATAAACAGCCTTGCTGGTGTGGAAAGCTAGGCGATGAAATCTAGACTTGAGAATCAATCTCAAGTTTCAGATGACATTTGAAGATGCCTTCAATCCGGAGATTTCTGGGTGAAAGTTGGTTGGTGAGAGGGAGGGAGGATTGTTGTGCTAGAGGAAAGAGAGGTTTGGGCAGGGTGGGCCGGTTCGGACGTCCTCGGAAACATCAACAGCGTTGCCCAGTGGTCGCCGGTCAGCCTGCTGCAGATGTTTTCTGGGACTCCCGAACCTGCCCCATCGAGATCTCCTGAAGTCCACCAACTCAGCACTCCAGTCGCAGGCATGCTTTGTTGGTGTCATCTTAGCTCCCGACAAGATCCGACGGCTGAGAAAGCTTCGAAAGCTGTGTTGGCCGTTGGGGCTGCCCTAGGAACTCGGACACGTGAAACGTAACCGATGGGATCTCCAACCGCGCCTCGAGATTGGTGGCACCTGAACGAAGCGCGGTGCGTCTGGCGACAGTGAAGTGTCGTTACAGCCAATTGGTCTTTTCGTGTTCGGGGTGGAGTGGAACCACTGCAACCCGAGGCGAAGGAAGACAGCCACAAACCTTTTTCCACGTCGGTTTCGCTGCTTGAAACAAACTGACGGGTGTAAACAATAAAAGCGACCTTTCCGTTAAAACAATATCAAAATAATCTGTATTTCTATACACGAGTCGAAGTAGCCTGAATAGCGTATACCGTAGCGAGTACCAGATATGTTGGTCTGAAATTCAGTTCCAAGGCAAGTGCAATCCTGACCTTCAGTTTCTCACGGAAATAATGATGAGCTGAAGTTTAGGGCGCGTAACCATTTTGCACCCGACGGTTCGAACCGTGGACCGTCCGGGTGGCGAAAAAGTAACAGATTTCGTACTATGTCGTAAGTGTGTTCGTTAAGGTGTTGGCGACATCGCCAACTTAACGGACAGTCAAAACACTTTTTCCCATTTTCTACGGTCCGAAATCTGAACCGTGGACAGTCCGAATCTCAAACGGACTGTCCGAATTTCCTTGCATCCGATTGGTGCACGACGTAAAAATTCTCGGGCATCTCGTCCACCAACAAAAACATGTCATGGGATTTCGCAAATTTACATCGACCAACCAGAGATGATTCGACAACGAAAAACACGAAAACCGTGAATCACGTAACGCTTGTACAGTTGTCGCGAAAATGAACAATAGAAGAAAAGTGTCACAACTGCCTTCGGACAGTCCGAAGTTGCAAATTTTCACTTCGGACGGTCCCGTTTTCAGTAAGTGGACCGTCCGCTTCGTTTTAAGCGGACTGTCCGTCAAAATCATAAAATGCAAAATGTTACGCGCCCTTAGCGCTTTTTGCGGCGGCCATCTGCCTCCATGGCTGCCCGTAGAGCCTCGAATTCGACCATCTGTGCGCGCCTTCGCTCCTCTTTTATCCGCCGCGCACGCTCCTTCACCCCAGCAGGCGTTGCTGACGTGTCGCCACATTGTTCGACAACCGCGATAGCTAAAAATTCGCAACGCACGCCGGTTCTCAATCAATTCCCGCAGTTGGAGTCGTCGGCGTCTCCGATCTGTGATAATGCCCGTTCCCGAATCGCCTGTCTCGACATGTGGCAACACGCGGTTGGGGAGTCGACCATCAGGCGGTACGCGCCTTTCCAGCCATCAGGCGCGCACCAAATTCGGCGTGGAGCCCTTCTGACCAACAACAGTATCGCTGCTGCTACAAACGAATCGCACAGATTAGGCTCGTTCAACTACAGAGATTACTGTAGCCAGTCTACTATCGCTCGCGACATAAGTAGACTAGGGAGTAGCAGTGTCGCCATTGTTAGTGGTCTAACTAGCATTAGGAACGATTTTGTAGAATCTGAAAGGCCAGTTAGACTACCGGCCAGCATTACTAGCATTGACACCTGCTGCAGCAGTAGGAGTAGCAGCAGCGACAAAATCAGCATTCGCAGGTTTAGTGGTGACGCTAGAAGCAATGCCGATATCCCCAGCACCAGCGGCACTACCAGCACTAGCAGCACTAGCACCTCAAGCAGTAGCAGCACCAGCACCAGCAGCAGCAGTAGCACGAGCAGCAGCAGCGGCAGCAGCAGCAGCAGCAGCAGGAGCAGCAGCGGCAGCAGCAGCAGCACGAGCGGTACTAGCAGCGCGAGGCACGAAAAGCCCCCATAGATCTGTCCGCCTTCCCGCCAGATCGGATTCGGAACTTCTCCATCGTGGCCCACGTGGACCACGGGAAATCCACGCTGGCAGACCGCCTGCTGGAGCTGACAGGCACGCTCACCCCCAGCGACACCAAGGGGCAGGCGCGCCCACAATATCTGGACAAGCTGCAGGTGGGCTTTAAAAGCCAGATGTTGGGAATGTTATGTGTGAAAAACTGCCTGCTGGAGCTGACAGGCGCACTCACGCCCAGCGACTTTAAGCGCCCGCAGTACCTGGACATGCTGCAGGTGGGTTGGGTTGGAATGGAACTACACATCCTCGGTAGCTACCTCACTCAGCTTCTACTCTCCACCTTCGTTTCCCCTGCTTCCATCCCTTCAGGTGGAGCGGGAGCGAGGCATCACAGTGAAGGCACAGACCGCCACCATGCTGTTTGACTACGTACCACTTGTTGCTTCCAAAGACACTTTGGCATTGGCAGACCCGTCTCAGACTGGTCCCCCTCCTGGGCGGTACTTGCTGAATCTGATAGACACGCCTGGGCACGTGGACTTCAGCTACGAGGTGTCTCGCTCGCTGGCCGCCACTCAGGGCGTGCTGCTGCTGGTGGACGCGCAACAGGGCATTCAGGCACAGACCGTTGCGAATTTCTTCCTGGCTTTGGAAGGGGACCTGGCTGTTGTGCCGGTGGTGAACAAGATTGACAGACCAGACGCTGACCCTGAAGGTGAGTCCACGCTTAGAATTCGTGTTGCTGCTGCTGGTGGACGCGCAGCAGGGCATTCAGGCACAGACCGTTGCGAATTTCTTCCTGGCTCTGGAAGGAGATCTGGCGATCGTACCAGTGGTGAACAAGATTGATCGGCCCGATGCCGACCCTGAAGGTGAGTCTGTTCTATGCTTAGAATTCGTGTTGCTGCTGCTGGTGGACTGGACGCGCAGCAGGGCATTCAGGCGCAGAGCAGACTGCTGCGAATTTCTTTCTCGCTTTGGAAAGGGACCTGGCGGTGGTGCCGGTGTTTTGAGACGTCTCAGAACACGCGGTGGTACCGGTGGTGAATAAGATCGATCGGCCTGATGCCGGCCCCCAAGCTGCGTAGGGTGGTTGGTTCTGCTGCTGCTCCTGGTGGTTGGTTCTCTGGTTCTGCGGGTGGCGGTGCTGCTGCTTCTTGTGCTGCTGCTGTTTTTTCCCCTTACCCCTTTGCTGTACGGGTCTAGAACAGCACCTTTCCTCTCCTGTCTTCTCGTGAATCTCTCCCTTTCTGTGGTACTCTTCATCCCATGATTCCCATGTTTCCCATGTTTCCCATGATTCCCATGATTCCCTCTTCCATTGCCTCTCAGAACGCCTCCACCTTCGACCTGCCTCGCGCCTCCTGCCTCTTCACCTCAGCTTTGCTAAATCCTCCACCTCCCACCCCTCCATTTCCCCCCCTTTTTCCCCAATTTCCCTTCTACCAGCCGTCGCCTCTCAAATCGCCTCGCCGCCACCTTCGACCTGCCTGTCTCCTCCGGCCTCTTCACTCTGCCCGCACAGGAGCCGGCTTGCCCTCGCTTCTCCCACACACCCTTGCCGCCTACTTACAATCCCCTTCCCTTCCTTCCCCCAACTTTCCCCATCCCATGTGCCCTCTGCATCCAGCGGTCGCCTCTCAGATCGCCTCGCCTCCACCTTCGACCTTCCTGTCTCCTCCTGTCTCTTCACCTCAGCCCACACGGGAGCCGGCCTGCCCTCTCTCCTCTTACACAACGTTTTGTCCCCATTCCACCTGCCCCCTCCCCACACCAGCCGTTGCCGCTCAGATCGCCAGCACCTTCGACCTGCCTGTCTCCTCTTGTCTCTTCACCTCAGCCCGCACAGGAGCCGGCCTGCCCTCTCTCCTCTCCGCCATCGTGCGCCAGATACCACCTCCCCCAGGCGACCCTGCCGCCCCGCTGCGCGCGCTGCTATTGGACGCACACTTTGACGAGTACAGGGGCGTGGTGTGCCACGTGGCAGTGGTTGATGGGGCGATCAGGGAGGGCGAGAGGGTGGCGGTGGCGGGGATGGGGATGAGCTACGACGTGGGGGAGGTGGGGGTGATGTATCCCGAGGCAACGCCTACTGGTTGTCTCCTTACTGGGCAGGTGGGTGTGTATGAGCTCGTGTAAGGGCCAGGGCATACTTGCTAGTATCTGAGGGAGAGAGGATGGAGATGGCAGGGATGGGGATGAGCTATGACGTGGGAAGGTGGGGGTGATGTACCCTGAAGCTACACCTACTGGGTGGCTGCTTACCGGGCAGGTGAGTGAATGCTTGTGAGGGATCCGCACTTGCTTGCACGGGAGGGAGAGAGAATGGCGGTGGCAGGGAGGGGGATGAGCTACGACTTGGGGGAGGTGAGGGTGATGTGTTCCAAAGGAAGCGACTACAGGCTGTCTGATTACTGGGCATGTGAGTGGGTGGGTGTGAGTGGGTGGGTGTGAGTGGGTGTGTGTGAGTGGGTAGGTGTGAGTGGGTGGGTGTGAGTGGGTGGGTGTGAGTGGGTGGGTGTGAGTGGGTGTGTGTGAGTGGGTGTGTGTGAGTGGGTGTGTGTGAGTGGGTGTGTGTGAGTGGGTGTGTGTGAGTGGGTGTGTGTGAGTGGGTGTGTGTGAGTGGGTGGGTGTGAGTGGGTGTGTGTGAGTGGGTGTGTGTGAGTGGGTGTGTGTGAGAGGGTGGGTGTGAGTGGGTGTGTGAGAGTGGGTGGGTGTGTGTGAGTGGGTGGGTGTGAGTCGGTGTGTGTGAGTGGGTGGGTGTGAAATGCCCCAGGTCTTGCCCCTCCCAAGCTGACATGAGACGGTGTCCTCTCCCCCCTTTTTCTCCCAAGCAGGTGGGGTATGTGATGCTGGGAATGCGGACAACGCGAGAGGCAAGGGTAGGAGACACGATTCACCTTTGCGAATTCTCAAAAGAGACACCAATCACCACCACAGGGCGCAGGCCTCGCCCTTCCCAAGCCGAAATCTGATCCTGTCCTTCTCCACCTCTCCCCCCTTTTTCTCCCAAGCAGGTGGGGTATGTGATGCTGGGAATGCGGACAACGCGAGAGGCAAGGGTAGGAGACACGATTCACCACCATAAAGCCCAAGTGTCGCCGCTCCCGGGCTTCAGGGCGGCGCAGCACATGGTGTTTGCAGGGGTGTTTCCTGCCGATGGCTCCGACTTTGAGGCGCTGGCGAAAGCAGTGGACAAGCTCGTGTGTAACGATGCGAGCGTGGCGGTGACAAGATACAGCAGTGCTGCTCTGGGCGCGGGATTCAGGTAAGGGGGAGAGGGGGCGAAGGGAAGGGCGAGGGGTGCTGGGTGGGAGTGCAGCACAGCACATGGTGCTTGCGGGAGTGTTCCCTCCCGGCCGATGTCTCTGAATTTGAGGCGCTGGCTAAAGCAGTTGTCAAGCTGGTGTGCAACGATGCGAGCGTGGCGGTGACAAGATACAGCAGTGCTGCTTTAGGCGCCGGATTCAGGTGAGTGTTTGTAAGGAGGCAAGGTGCAGTGCAGGCATGCAGGTGCAGGATCGAGTGAGCATGTCAGTGTGGGAGTGTGGGAGCGTGGGGAATCAGGAGGTAGTATTGGGTGGGAGCGCAGCACATGGTGTTTGCAGGGGTGTTCCCCACCGATGGGTCAGACTTTGAGGCGCTGGCTAAAGCAGTGGACAAGCTGGTGTGTAACGATGCCAGTGTGGCTGTCACCCGCTACAGCAGCGCCGCCTTAGGTGCTGGATTCAGGTGTGTGCTTGTGAAAGAGGTAGGTGCCGGCATGTAGGATTGAGCGAGCGTGAGAGTGTGGGAGTGGGGGAAAAGGGAGGGAGTGCTGGGTGGGAGCGCAGCACATGGTGTTTGCAGGGGTGTTTCCCTTATGGTTCCGACTTAGATGCGCCGGCTAAAGCAGTGGACAAGCTGGTGTGCAACGATGCCAGCGTGGCGGTTACCCAATACAGCAGCGCCGCTCTGGGTGCTGAATTCAGGTGAGTGGGTTGGAAGGGGAGGGAAGGGGTAGGTACTTGCATGATTGAGCTAGCGTATGAGTATCCCTCTCCCCCCACCCCCTCCACCCCTTGAGCAAAGAAAACGGTTATCTCACCACCAATGACTGTCTTGTTGCATTGCAGGTGCGGCTTCCTGGGTCTGCTGCATATGGACGTGTTTCACCAGCGCCTGCAGCAGGAGTTTGGCGCTGAGGTCATCTCGACTGCTCCCTCTGTGCCAGCTGTCTTTGAATACGCTGACAGCACGTGAGTCAGTCCCTGGGGCGTGCTTATGTGCATGTTGTTCAGCCCTCCAAGTCAATCCAATCCACCAGCGCCTGCAGCAGGAGTTTGACTTTTGAGAATTCTCAAAAGTGTTTCACCAGCGCCTGCAACAGGAGTTTGGCGCTGAGGTCATCTCAACTGCTCCCTCTGTGCCAGCTGTCTTTGAATACGCCGATGGCACGTGAGTCACTGTGACGTGCCATGCCATGCCATGGCGTGCTGGGCCGTGCCGTGCCATGCCGTGCCATGCTCTGCCGTGCCATTCAGATTCCCATCCCATGCCGTGCCATGCCGTGCCGTGTCATGCCATGCCGTGCTGTGCCATGCAATGCCATGCCATGCTACCCATGCCCATGCCATGCCCATGCTATCCATATCCATGCATACTATGCCCATGCTATCCATAACCATGCATACTATGCCCATGCGTATGCCCATGACGGCGCCCATGCCCTTTCCCCTCCTCTCTCTCCCCCTTCCCCCCCTCCCATCCAGGCGCATAGAGGCCCAGGGTCCATCAGACATCCCATCCATCCCAAAGCAGCGAGTGGTTCGCTGCACGGAGCCCTTTGTTCTCGCCACCATCGTCACACCCTCCAAGTGAGTGCTTCATGGAAACCCCCTCCCCCCCCCCCCTCCCCCCCTTTAAGTGAGTGCCCCTGCAAGTGAGTGCCCCTGCAAGTGAGTGACTTTTTCCTATCCCCTCTCTACCTTTCTCCCTCCTCCCCTCCCTCCCTTCCAGGTATGTGGGACCTATTATGGAGCTCTGTGCAAGCAGGAGGGGCGAGCAGAAGGAGTACTCCTTCATTGACGGGTGAGTTCCAGAAGTGACTTTCGAGTCGACTCAGAGTGTCACCTTCTGGAGAGCCGGAAAGAGAAGTCCTATGTTGACCGGTTCTTGCGTGCTTGTTGTTCTTGCGCAGAGCTGGAGAGTTCTTGTGTGCTTGTTGTTGCACTTGATCCAGAGGTTAATGGGCAGGGTTTGGCAGTGAGGGAGGTGGTGTGGACTTCTGCAACTTTTTCCCATGACTGCCTGTCTTTTGCGTGCCGTTGCATCGACCGGGCCGTGCTGAGATACGACATGCCCGTGAGGGAGGTGGTGATGGACTTTTACAGCCACCTCCTTATCAGCTTGTCGCTTCCCCCCCTCCTTTCCCCTTCTTGCAGCGACCGGGCTGTGCTGAGATATGACATGCCAGTGCGGGAAGTGGTGATGGACTTTTACAGCCACCTCCTGACTTTTGAGTCGACTCAAAAGTCACCTCGTGGACTTCCACAGCCACCTCAAGAGCTTGTCTGCCCCAATGCCCTTGTGTCTTCAACTCCTTTGCACGTTCTGCCCCCTCCTTCTCCTCCCAATGCAGCGACCGTGCCATGCTGCGATACGACATGCCTGTGAGGGAAGTGGTGATGGACTTCCACAGCCACCTCAACAGCATATCCACAACTCGTGTTTCTCATGTCTGCCTGTCTTTTGCGTGCTTTTGCAGCGACCGAGCTATGTTAAGATACGACATGCCAGTGCGGGAAGTGGTGATGGACTTTTACAGCCACCTCAAGAGCATCTCCTCGGGGTTCGCCACGTTTGACTATGAAGATGCCGGGTGAGCCAGTGTATTTGGTGAAGGTGAGATCTGGTGAAGGTGAAATCGGCTACTAAACGGTTCGAGATAACTTGAAAAGCCGCCTGCACATTTCCGTAGAGGGTTTTCCTTACCCCGTAACGCAACCCGCTTCTTCCCTCCCGACCTTTTCCCTACACTTTTGCCACCCTTCCTCCGTTTTTCCCAGCATGAGGGAGGCGGATCTGGTGAAGGTGGATGTGCTGCTGAACGGCAAGCCAGAGGACGCACTGGGTGATGTCTGACCCCATTCTCCCTTTGCAATCGCCCTTCTTCCATACCGTACATGCCAGCATGAGGGAGGCGGATCTGGTGAAGGTGGATGTGCTGCTGAACGGCAAGCCAGTAGATGCGCTGGCAGCTATCGCCCACAGAGACGCCGCGCAGCGCATGGGGAGGAAACTTGTGGAGAGACTGAAAGGGGTTCTTGACAGGTGGGTCTGAAACGGTGGAGAGTGGTTTAAGTGAACACCCTGGCGGTCGTCGGCCACTAGGAGCCAGCACAGCACATGAAGAGGAAGCTGGTGGAGCGGCTGAAAGGGGTTATGCCCAGGTGGTTTTGAAACGGTTGAAAGTGTTTCAAAGGGGTAGTTGAGGTACTGGCAGCCATCGCCTACAGAAAGGCGGTGCAGCGTGTGGGGAGGATTTCTCCTGAAAGTATTGCTCGTTTGTGGTGTGTGAATATGCGAATGCGTTGTTGCAAATGTTTTTTTCTTCTTCTTCTTGATTTACTTTTTTTCCACCTCAACCCTAACACATGCTCCAAGGCCTACCCTGCTCCGTCTGTGTGTGTGCACCCACATACGTGTGCATCCAAAATTGCTGGGTGCGTGCAGGCAAATGTTTGAGGTGGCCATCCAGGCTGCTATCGGCGCCAAAGTGATTGCAAGTGAAAAGTGAGTAGGAGTGCAGATTTGACTGTTCAATTTCACACAAATTTAATTCGTACACCTTTGCTCAACCATGCCATTGCATCCACCTGCTGTCCTAGTATACTTACAACTCTGCACAGATTCTATAGGCATACCGTGTAACGTGGTACCTCGTTTATTCCCCCATTACACAACCATCTCCAACCTTCATTTTTATCCCCAAGCAGGCTTTCGGCTATGCGTAAAAACGTACTTGCTAAGTGTTACGGCGGGGATGTTACCCGCAAGAGGAAGCTACTGGAGAAGCAAAAGGAAGGGAAGAAGCGAATGAAGCGAGTTGGCTCCGTCTCTCTTCCCCAGGAGGCATTTCACGACTTGTTGCGGACATCATAATATGAAGCATTTTATTTTTGCAATGGAAGCTAGTTATTCACTTCCGTACGTGTACCAACAGTCTCTTGTCTTCCGGAAGGGTGCTCTATCGTACTAGTGGGAACGTTAAAAGCGGGTGCCGCTCGACAAGATCTTCGATAGAAAGTCATACGACCGTACTTCACCGTGGGAACTACAACAGGCCCTTGTTTGGCGTCCGCCATCCCACCTCTCTGCCATTACTCCATTACCTCCCTAATCGCAGCCTCCGTTACCTGTCTCCATCGCCTTCGGCACTCCTAGTCTTCTTTTATACGCCGTGTCGCGATCCGCGCTCATTTATCTCTTCATTTTGTCACTCTTACGATTCGTCCCAGCGGAACTACAGCGCGGATCAGATAGTACATAGTACCCAGTTTGCCATTTGCTCTTAAACCGGCTACGCAGTAATAGAACGTTAAAACCTACCGTCGCGGAGTCTCAACAAGCGGGGACATTACTGCCTTAAAATAGCCTCATCGAAGCACCTTATAACGTGGAGTTAACAACGCGTTAAGAGATCGGATCAAATCGGATCAGTCATGGGGTCATCGTCGGTGATGGAGGAGGTGCGGAAGGTGATGGCGATGGTGACGGAGGGCAACGAGCAGCTGCAACACGCGCAGGAGCAGGCCTCCGCCGCCATTCGCGAAACGACGGCGGCCGCGCGGCAGCAAATGGCTGTCATGGAAGCCGCAGCGTCGGAGCACCTGCAGGAAGCGAAGGTAGGGAGCTTATAAAGCTTATGGATTGACAGGAGCAGGCCTCCGCCGCCACCGACGAAATGGCGGCGGCGCGCGGCAGCAGATGGCGGTCATGGAGGCCGCGGCGTCGGAGCACCAGCAGGAAGCCAAGGTGAGGGATCTTATAGCGCGTATGGATTGGCAGGAGCAAGCCTCGGCCTCCATTAGGGAAACGACGGCGGCCGCGCGGCACCAGATGGCGGTAATAAAAACCGCAGCGTCGGAACAACCGCAATGAGCTAAGGAGAGATAGCTTTCAGCGCGTATAGAAGCGCGGTGAGGAGTGAGAATTCTGGGTTGGTGCCGGAGGCGAAGATGCAAGCAATATAGAGATCTTAAAAGACAAATTTCCGCATCATTGCCCTTTTCCCATTGTTGTCCCTTTCACATCTTTTCCCTTATACCGTCTTCAATGCTTCATTGAATTCCCTTGATGTTCCTCGTCTTCTCTCGTTTCCCACTCTTGCTCTGTTTCTGCAGGCGTCCTTTGAGGTGGCTCGCGAGGTGTACACACAGTACGAGGACGTTTTTTTCCACCATTTGAAGAGTGAGTTGAAGAGATATCAGAGGTGGCTCGTGAGGCCTGTACGCGAAACATATTAGATTGGAGCGTAAAGAATGCTCATACGTGAGGTGAGGTGTACACACGGTACGAGAACGTCTTCTTCCATCACCTCAAGAGTGAGTGAGGCGTGTACCTGATACACTAGGAGTCACAATCAAGTGACGCGTGTACATGCAGCATAGCAGAGTTGTGTTTAAGAATGGTCCCATTTTCACACTTCTAACCTCCCTACCTTGCACTCCTTTCGTTCTTTTCTCCAGTGGGAGTCTATCTGGTCTCAGAGCATCGCGTTGCCTCCACTGCAGCGCTGCTCTCTGCCCTCGCTTTCATCCTTCCAGGTTCGTAATTCTGCTGTGTGTTCGGAGTTGGCGCTCACTGACCCAAATTTAGAGAGGGTGTTTTTGAGACGTCTCAACCCTCTCTACACGTGTGTTTTCGGAGTTGGCGCTCTCTCACCCAAACTCCCAGTTGCAGAACACAGTTTTACATTGCAACCAGTTCCCCTAAGCTCCACTGTGGCTGGAAAACACTTTCTTTACCCTTTTTACATTCTCCTGTTGCTCCCCACCTCTCCTTCGGACTCTCCCTGTCCCCCTTTTCACTTTCCCCTGAAACCTTTCTGTCTTGACTGTGCAGGGCCACGAAAGATGCTGTATAGAGCAACATTTGGCCGGTTCCAAACCCCAGAGGTAACGTGAACAGATGCAAGCCTGTATGTGTAGTTTTTGTAAGCACGGCTACATGATATTGAAGCTCCGTTTGGCTGTATCGAGCAACATTTGGCCGGTTCCAAACCCCAGAGGTAAGCGCGCGTGCACAGATGCAACGCTGCATGTATTCTTTAGATAGCACGGCTGCATGATATTGTTGAATTGCCCGTTTTCATGTGTTTCCACGTCCCTGCCCTTTTCCGGTTCCCCTTTCTCGCCTGTGATACAAGCAGGTGCTGGTGGAGTCTGCAGAGCGTAAGCTGGAAAGCTTGAAGCAGTCAGTGGAAGTCTTTAAGAACGACACCAAGAAGCTGCAGGTGAGTTGAGTGAGAGCTGAAGGTTCTTCAACTTCCTTTTCATGCCTCACTTCCTTTCCCTTTATTGTACCGGTACCATCTGCTGAAGCTCCATTTAGATCGAATGGTTTGCTAATATCATCATTTGATTTGACAGCACGATTTGCCTACTCTCATGGCTTTATCTTGATGGCGTCATGTTCACTGAATGTGGACGTGCAGGAACGGGCTCAAATGGCGGAATCGGAGTTTCGTTCAGGCCGAGACAAGCTGAAGTGAGCTCGCCAGTGCCTTTGCTTTCGCTGGTGACAGTTTGCTGCGTCTCTTGCTCATCAACATGACATCACCTGCTTCGTGTGTTTTTTGGCCTGCTTCACAGTCACTACCATTCCCCATATTTCACATGGTTGACCCCAAATCTTTTTGTGTCACCACGGCCTTAAACTTACCCCGCAGGGCCTGAGATGCAGTGGCGACTTCTGAGATGACGCAAAACTGACCCTGTTGAACTGCGCTGCTTTTACCACAATTTACTTTGACCCTTTGACTGCAGGGCTGCAGGAGCTGAGATGCAACGGCTGGCGGGATCAGTACGGGCAGCGGAGAAGAAGTCCCTAGGTGAGTTGCTGCTGTGTCCATGTGTCGCACACACAGTTTCTTCTGGGAGCGGTTAAGCAAAGGGAGCATTACATTTGCAATGCAACTCCCTATTCGTTTCATTACTTTGCTTCAACAGCTCGCTAACCAGCCAGTTTGCTCACTCCAACCATTACAGTTGCAATGCAACCCCCTATTCGTTTCATTATTTTGCTTTGCAACTCCAAGTGTTCTGACTTTAATCCTCATCCGCGTTCCCCTTTCTTTTACCTCTTTCAGGGCTTCGAGAACTTCTCAAAGACCTGCCTGCAAGAGACAGCGTTCGGCTGCGTTCAGAGGTACGCCTTGTGCTAACTGGCTCCGTCATTGCTTGCCTCTGGTCTGGTCGTTAAAGGTGACTTTTGAGTCGACTCAAAAGTCACCCCGTGGTAACTGGCTCCGTCATTGCTTGCCTCTGGTCTGGTCGTTAAAGGTGACTTTTGAGTCGACTCAAAAGTCACCCCGTGCTAACTGGCTCCGTCATTGCTTGCCTCTGGTATGGTCGTTACCATCCCTCAGTGTGGCCTGTCTGTGCCAGCAGCATGCCTCGGACTCTCAGCATCCTGTTCAGCACCCCACTTCTCACATTCTTCCTTCCCACATTCTTCCCAGCATTCTTGACTGCACATTTGTTCAAGTCTGAACATTTCTTTCCAGCCATTCCGTCAGCACATCCTTCCAGCACTTTCTCCAGCACATGTTCCTCTTCCTCCTCCTTATGGCTTCCCTCCTCACCTCCCCACGTTGTCTACTCCAGCTGGCCATGGCGACCCGAGAGGCTCAACGACAGCTGCATGCCATCAACAAGGCAACCGTGCATGTGGCGCGTCTCGGCATCCCTATCTAGTTGCTGCTTGCACGTGCAGCCACTGTTGACAATCATTCCAGTATCCTCATGCTTGGCATGGAATGCCCATCTCGTTGCCATTTATGTAGCCACTCTTGTCAGCTGGTGCATTACTAGCTGGCAGGAGGCCCACAACTTCCGCCAAGCCTCTTTTAGGAGTATTCATCATGATTCATAAGCTGAGAGGCCAACACATACTTAGATGTACCTCTGAAATGACATTCTTACAGCCCTGCAAGTTGTGGTTCAAGAACAGCTACTGAATCGTGTCTAAAGCAAGGTCCGTCCATTTATTTGGATCCTCCTGAGGCACCTCATTCCCTGCATGAACAACAAAACAGCAACGGGCAGAACAGAAGCAAAAGAAGGTGAGGGGCCAAGTGCAGGATGGCTTGGTTGTTGTTTTGCTTCTGAAGGAACACAACTTTGCCAACCCTTTTTTAGGGAAATTCATCATGATTCATAATTTATGCATGGCCTCTCCTTCATATCTCACCCTAAAACAAGCACCGAAGTGAAGGAATGACACAGGATGGCAAAGGCAAAGGCACCATGAATCAAGATGAATGCTCCCTGGTGAGAAGTGTGCTTACCAAGGTCGTCAGCCTCTTCTGACGCAGGTGCAGGGCCGACAGGGAGCATCACATCTGATAATAAAGATACCCCAAATCGCAGGACATGCAGAAGTGATTCAAGCAGACGAAGTGTAAGCGAAGAGTTTGGAATCTTCCAATGAGGAAAACGCATGATACGTACAAATCAATTTGAACTCATCAAATTCAGCTCTTACCGTCGTCCGGAAGAGTCTCGCTCATCCATTCTTCATCGACGATGTCGACGAGGAGCCCGGGAAACAGCACTAGATTCGCCATGTCGTGGTACCTCAATTCAAGTCAAACGAAGGCCTTTACTCGTCGCTTTCAGGAAACTCGGGTGTGATTTGGGACTAGCGACGTGCACGTGAGCTCAATCCATGCCTCCGGAACATTCTTAACAATGCGAAAGCGAGAAAGACCCCTTCAAACTTGCACCACCTTTCGAATGTTCTGTTTTAGACTGGAATTTCTGGTCTTGAGACCTCAATTTTGAATGAGGAGCTGCAAGAATAGAAAGATGCAACCGAAAACGAAAGGCTTGCTTATTAGTCCAAGGTTCCTGCAAAACTAGCGGTTTGGTGCTGAAAACGGTGAGAATTTGATCCAGCCCGTGGCGAAGATTCAGGAACGGTGATACCCGAATGTCGCAACAGTTCGCAGAGATTTTGTCAGTCCCCCTTTCCACAACGCCAATCCCCTTCCCGAAGCCAGTGTGTTCTCTTCCTTCAGCACGACCAAACGATTCGTTCTTATTCAACGTCCTGGAATCATTCTGGCGCTTCGTCATGAGGAACATCACCAAAACCGTTCTTCATGTACTCTGGGCTCTCGCTTTTCTGAGCTGCGCAGCTTCAGCCACATTAGGTATGCTCATGAGCTCGAAAAGTTCCCACCTTCTGCCTGACAGATTCCCGCAAGGGCCAGCTGTTTGAGTCAACCGCAAGTCAAACCGAGCTCGACGGCCTCCGCTTTTTGGTATCTTCTCAGGATCTTTCCGATCCTTGGCTCGTATATTTCCACATTTCAATGTCATTCATGATCTTCCCCAGCCATGCAGTCTCGAGATAGCAATCAAGGACCACATTCCGAGCTCAATTTCCTCTATCTTCTTATTCGCCGTATTCAACGTTTGCAGACGGGAGAGATGACCTAACTCTCGCCATTCTGAAGCCTGACATTATGGGGAGCAATATCTGGACGGGGTTGTCCAATGATATCCGAGAAGCCGGATTCCAGGTGGTGCATGAGAAGCTCTTCTTCTTCGACGAGCCTTTGGCAGAGAAATTCTACGCAGAGCACAAGGGAAAGAAGTTCTATCAGGGCCTCATCAACTTTATGCAAAGGTCGCCATTCTCTTCGTCTCTCTTCTTGTCTACCCTTACCATCTCTATTGTAACCACTTGCGTTTGTTCCATCAGTCTTCTTTCCACCGCCAGTTATTCCAATTATTTTTGTGAGCGTTTTCTGCAGTGCGCCAGTGACAGCGTTAGTGCTCCAGCATGAGAATGCACCGTCAGCCTTTCGAGAGCTCATTGGCCCCACCGATCCCAAGACAGCCCGTGTTGCTCACCCAGAGAGGTAAGGTTCAAATTTCTGACGGTATGTACTGTTTAGAGTCTTTATTCCACTAACCAGGATTGTATGGACTCTCAACTTATCCCCGGTAGTTTCGAAAAAATGTCCCTGGTGACTTGCTGTTGGGGAAATATGCTTTGGTAGAGTGCCCGTAACATCCCATCCCTCCTTCTGGTGCTTGTGCTTCCGCCAGCTTACGAGCCAAATATGGCACAGATGTGCTACAAAACGCAGTGCATGGCTCGGCATCAGTTGCCGATGCTCTCCATGAAATAAACCTTTTGTTTCCAGACTGGAAGCCACCTCCAAGTAAGTCGATGTTTTATGTTGGCATCGCGTCCTGCAGTGAGAATTTTCTGCCGCTTTTTGCTTCTGTTAAGCTATAGCATTGCAAGGCAGTTCTACAAAGAACATTGTCACAATCTCTTGTGTGACAGGTCTGAAGACACTTACCAACTTTGAAGATGCTAGTGAGCTCTGATGTGTGTACTGCTGCATGCTGGTGCTGTCCGACTGTGGCACGATCTGATTCCCATGAGACGCAGGTGGCACTCAGGATACTTGCATTAAAGAATATGAGTCACAGCACTCCATGGCTGAACTGAACCTTCAAAGCTACTTTATATGTGACCCCGAGGCAAGAATCATTATCATTGGAGGGTTCTCTGCTGAGCTGCAAAATTCTATTATATGGCATCAACGACGCATCAGAGCTGGTCCCATGACAAATCAGGGACTGGTGTTGAAGGGGGGAGCTTTATGGATCAGAAATACATCAAAGGGGACGTATGGTATGATAAGCCTCCAAACAATTCAATTACAGTCTGATGAGCATGCTGTTGTAGAGCTTGGAATATTTAAGGACCCTTCTGAAATGAATTGCAGGTGAAGTCAACTGTTGTACAGCATCAAGTGGAGGACTTGGGCATAGTACCTTGGTTCACGCTTTACGTTGGAGAACGTAAATACATTATCATTTCACTGCACAACGCTATTATGCAACTTCTGAGCTGTACTCGTTATTGCGTTTTTGGTGGGCAAGCACCAGCATGAACCCCTCTTGTTTGGTTCAGCTTTCACCCTCACGAATTTGAAAACGAAAATGAGCTGGTCGTCACCAACGTCTTTCTTTTTTCCCTACACACTCACTTGGAGAAAACTTCAGCTACCATATCCTTCACCCCACGATCTCGTCGACGTACATCACGGTAGCAAATTGGAGTGCGTTAGTCGATACAGAGACGAGTATCGAGTTATTAAGACGCAACCGGGGCCGCGGCTTCAGCACATTCCATTCACTTCTGTACGTTCGACACTGAACGAAGCCTAGGAAGTCGTCGCAAGAGAGTAACAATTTCAGCGCGAAAAAAGACGTGCAAATGAAAGACGAGGTCGCTCAACAGGAGAAGACAAGCGACGTTGGTAAGAAGGACGAAGAGATGGAGGATGTTGAGGAAGCAGCTGCTGGTGTCCAGGAAGTGAAAACGGAGGAAAAGGGCAAGGGAGATGAGGAGGATGAGGATCAGGTGGAAACGATCGGGGACGGCGATGATCCTGAGGAGCTCGCAGTGATCGAGGCGGAGGAAGTGGAGGAGGGCGACGACGGCGAGCAAGCAGGCGACGACGACGAAATGAACGACGTCGACGAGGAGGAGGTTGAGCCAGCGGAAGAGGACGACCCTCATAAAGACGAGCCGCACTTCAACGAGGTAGCAATTGCAATTGCGTGTTTATCATCAATAGTTCCTCCCGCTGGGTCCTGTCAAGAGAGTGGAGTCGCCGTTTGCTCTTCGCAAATGCCCCGTGCAGCTGCTGTCCTTACGTCGCTGCTTGATTCAGCTCCGCGATTCAGCTCCGCTCTTCTAACCAGCTCCGTCATTTTGTTAGCACTCACCTCCAGATGAATGGCATACTTTCGTTCTGGAGTTTTGAAATGCGGTTTATCTGGCTCAATGGCTCCACTCACTCCCCTCTGTGTTTCCTGCGGTCTGGTCGCATTGCAGCGCAAGGAGATAGCGAGGAAGGAGAGGGAGCGGCTGAGGGAGCTGAAGCAAAACTACGCACTCTTTGAGTTGAGGATTGTTATTCACGGCTAATTGGTTCCCCTCCGCTCTGTGATCTCTCGGTCTGGTCGCATTGCAGCGCAAGGAGATAGCGAGGAAGGAGAGGGAGCGGCTGAGGGAGATGAAGCGGAACAAGAAGAGGGAGCTAGAGGAGCTTATCAAGAGGCAGAACGACGCCGTGCAGGCTGAAACGGTAAGCACGGGACCTTGGGGAGCCTCGTACTGTTATTTTGAGAAAGAAGGGTAGCCTGAGGGAGGTGAAGTGGAGCAAGAGGAAAGGAGGTCATTTAAGCCGAACCGAACACAATGCAGTGCATGCTGAAACGGTTAGTAATCGACTTTGGAGCGGTTAGTTATAGAGCGAAAGGGATAAGAAGTGGAACAAGAAGTTCCTCACTCGATTCCCTATGTCCTCCGTTCCTGAGTAGGCTGACAGCGCCAAGGGGAGGCTTAAGTTTCTGCTGCAGCAGCAGACTGTTTGACCGAACCTGAAAAACAAAACAGCTACTTGTGTCCCTCTGTTCCTCCCTTGGTTACCTTTTCCCTCCGTTCCTGGGCAGGCTGACAGCGCCAAGGGGAGGCTCAAATTCCTGCTGCAGCAGACGGAGATTTTCCAGCACTTTGCACAGCAGCACGACTCGCCTGTGAAACCCAAGGGCAAGGGCCGAGGCAAGGGGCGGGGTCGAGGGAGCTCGAAGCTGACAGAGGAGGAGGAGGACGAGGAGTATTTGAAGGAGGAGGAAGAGGCGCTGGGGGACGGTGGCAG